TTAGGTTTGCTGTCTTGAATATCCCCTGAGCAGTGGCTCATAGCAACTTTCCACTGAAAAGGATTTACCAAATCTTTTCTCAACAATAAGTCTATTCACACATACCAATATGCAGACTTCAAGTGCCTAGGTAGACAAAGAAATCCACTATTCAAGGTGGTTGTGATCCGATTATGATGTACACTGCCAAACAGCATACAAACACATCACTCTCCAAAACAGGGCATTTCAAGAGGTAACACTACGTTTATTCCAGCCACATTTCCCCTGCATGAAACTCTTGAGCATAGGGGAACAGAGCTGTTTCCCCCCAGATTATAGCTGGTATCCAACTAAACTGTTCCGCTAGTGCAATGAGTTGTACCTGTTCAGTGGAATTTCCCCTCCCTCTCCTCTACATAGCACCTACTATTTTCTTTAGCTCTATGCCATTTTTAAAAATGCACAAAGCTAAAGACTAGTATAAGCTATTCATATTCCCTAGAAAATGCAGGTGACAGATGTTCCTTCTAAATATGTTATCTTCCAAATCTCTCCGCAAACAGATCTCCACCTACAGTTAAGCTTTTGTTTTTGTCTCAGGCGCTGTTACTAATGTTAATTTGCAACACCTTCCAAAGTTCTGGCCTTGGGGGAAGCCAACCACCTTAATCAGAAATGCAAACCCAGAGGCAGAGGCATGGTTTGTTACCAAGGTCATATCCCAGGGACCCTCTCCAGGGGTAACAAAATCATGAATAAAACAAAGCAGAAAGGAAACAAGGAAACAATATAGATGAAATGGCTGACTAGGAAGGTTTTTCATAGGAATCACGGGAAATGAGTAAATAATCAAGGGACGGGGTTCATTATCAGATATCCAGTCAACATCAATATGTAAACACTCTGGGAATATGATCAAAGGGAGATATTAAAATATTTGTAATAAACAGACATACTCCGAACCAAATTACTGCTCTTGGGGTAGAGATAGGATAAGCACAGGTTTCAGAAGCAGCAGGGTCATTTGTTCATTATACAGAAAGGCCCCGTATCTAATTCTCTGCATCTCCAATTTGACACTGTCTACTTTTAATTTTGCATTTTGGTGTGATCTGTTTTAACTTGGGGGAAAGGCCAATATTAAATATGTACTTGAGATGGGCTTTAATTTAAAAAGTTGGCAAATAAAAACATTTTAAGTCACTATATGACTATGTGACATTTCACAAAGTTACTTTACTTCAGTGTACAAGCTAAATAATTAAAAAATGAGGCAACTCTGTCCCTATGTCCCACACAGAGGCACTGGGAACTAAGTTTGTCTTGAGAATATTGGCTTGGATCCAGAGGTGATTTAAGAATTCCAGATACAGTAGCACCTCAGGTTACAGATGCTTCAGGTTACAGACTCCGCTAACCCAGAAATAGTACCTCAGGTTAAGAACTTTGCTTCAGGATGAGAACAGAAATCATGCGGCGGCAGCACGAGGCCCCATTAGCTAAAGTGGCGCTTCAGGGTAAGAACAGTTTCAGGTTAAGAACAGACCTCTGGAAGGAATTAGGTTCTTAACCTGAGGTACCACTGTACTGTGAAAACACAAAGTGATAAATTTCTGCTCTTCCAGAGTGGCGATACAGGCAATTTATCCTCTTCACACACTTACTGCAGTTAATAAGCTGGTCCTAAACACAATATATAATAGATAGTTGCCAAGTTTATAAAGCTAAATGTTGACATTAAGAATTTGTTCTAGAAGAAAGACTGTTGACATAATTATTGTTCAGGGTGGGACTAGGCAGACGCAATTGAGTGTAGAAAAATATCATTATAGTTTATTAAATGCAGGTCCAATGCCATATATAATATGTATGTACTGTAACTCATACATTTTAAAACCTTAAAATCACTGTTGACAGTTTTCAGAGATTCACTTTATAATGTACTCCCAACTGCTAAAATAATAGTAAGAAAAACAATCCAAACGGTTAATAGTTTTGCTCGCACACTAGCTTTTCTGAGCACATTTAAACAAACAATGTAATGAGAGGATGCTAGGCCCAGAGAGGATAAACCACATGTCTATCACCTAGTGGTATTGCTGGATATACAGGAAATGTTGAAATAAAGTGTGCATTATAAATATATTTATCATATCTTCACAAAATTTTATTATTATTATTTAGAAAACACACTCTTCCATCAAGGTATTTTAAAGACAGATTATGTAAGGTAAAGGTTAGGATGGCTTCCTGCTAATTATTGCAGGTAAATACTGGGGTGTGTGTGTGCGTGCGCCATGAATGTAGAAATGGCTCTTGCCTCGCTGCCATAAACATTGCAACTCACATATCTGAAAGCAGAATTGGCCACAGGAGGCACATTACTGTATAAGCCACCAAATTACTGCTCCAGTAGCTATAAAAACATAATTTAGTGGTCAATTTTTACTAACCAAGCTTGACTGACACATTCAAAGAGTAGAACATTAATGAAGCAAATCATTACTGTTGCTTACATTCTCTACTGCCTGATGCACTAATAGTTTGTTTTTCCATTTCCAGACTGACTTAAGCCCATAATCTTTCGCCTTCCTAAAGCAATGTAATCTTATTGGAGATAAGTCTTGCTCCTGCCAATGATCTAAACTTTATGCAAGGTCAAGTCACAAATCAATTCAAGTTGGTGGTCAAGAAATCAAATGGACACAAAACAGCTTACAATCCTCTCAATAGTTGGCAATGACTGAGAGCAACCTACATACTGTGCAGGTATGGAAGGTTATATATGATCTATGGTTGCCAGTCATAAGTAGGAATACATACGGACTCTGAAAAAAATAGTTTACTTAACTAAGTGGATGAAGTATTTAGTCAAGGTGCTTCTTAAGTGACACAATTTTGCTTGTTCTCATCTTATTTGTATGGGCACTACTAGCCTTGACTATTTCTCTCCTTAAAATTTTGGCCTAAGTTCCCGATGAGCAGAACTCTGCTCAGGGGATTTTCATGAATTTCTCCTTCAAATTTACATTTGATGGTAGGAAGATCACCCAGACCAGCATGTGACCTGCCAGTGGGGCCTATGGAGGAACTGCAACAACCAGCTCCTCTCTTCCACTAGCAAGCAGTCCCTTCCTTTGGTGGAAGGGCAACTCAGGATCCAAGCTACATACTACTGTATTCTAAGAGTGGAATGTGCAAGTTCACAATGCCATTGAGAGTAGAGGTATAGGGAGGATTTGAACCACAACTTGTATTTTAGAGCATGTAGTTTAGAGCATGTAGGCTCATAGATACTACTTCAAAGTTTAGAAACTAGGAAGTGGGTATCCAACAAAGGCATTAAATAGACACATTGAAATTAATGTGCCGTCGTGTGTGTGTGTGTGTGTTTAAAACAGCCAATAGTCTTAAATTAATAAATGAAATCCATTGTTTAATTATTCTGAAAATATTTACTGGGTTGCACAGTACTGTTGTAGCACTATCGGTTTATATATGCAGTGCATCTTCCAGGTGTTCACTCAGAAGCAATTCCCCTTGTAGTCAATGGGGCTAACTTCCAAGTAAGTGTCTACAGGATTGCAATGTCAAGGTGGGATCCAGAGGTGCCCTTCTGCAAGTGGAAGTCCTCCTTAAGGAGCTGAATAGCCTTTTCCTGACTTAGTGCGAGATCCTTGTGCAAGAACTGAAATCCAGATAAGCTTCCATCTCAAGTTCACACAATGCCTTCAGCTGGCTCTAGCACAATAGTTGATGGAACAGCACCAATAGCAGAATTTCTGCTAGCAAATTTCTAGATCCAAGTCTTTCCCCACCATTTGAGCCCTCTGTCTTTTGTCTTACTGAAGACTGATAACTTATATGCACTCTTCACATGTATTAGAATTCTCTGTAAACCAGAACCCATTCCACATAGTGTAGAATGAGTTCAACTTGTTAAAAAACATGCACCACTGCAACATATTATTTCCATGCAGCCAGGGGACCTTTGTCTGAGGAGGAAAGCCTTGCATCGCAAGCTCCAAATTACATACATGTGTTATTCTCTAGTCCACAATTACATGTGACAGGCATTCTACATCAATCCTTTTGGTTTTTAAAAATAAGATCCTGTGTTTTTTTCTTCCTCAGATGGGAAAGCAGCTTTGGGAACAAAGAGGGAGGGAGTGAATTAAGCACCTCCTTTTTCTTGGTCACAGACCGGTACATCCCTAACGCTAGTCCTGATAGGGAAAATATATTGACTTCAATGAGAAATTGTGTACAAAAGTTTAGAAACTTTTTTCCTTCTCCATCATTGAATTCAGAGCACTCTATTGTTTTCAGCTTCTATATTTGGTTTGATACATTTTACAACTTTCGTTGAAACAAGAAGAATTGAATTCTTTAGAAGATTCTTTAGATCAGTTTTTGTAGTTCATATTTATAAGGATTCTGATGTTAAGTTATACTTTTACATTAAGAGTTCTTCAAAAATTTGAATTAGGACACAGATATTTAAAACACAAGACACCCAAACTCTTTCAAGGTCTTTCATATAGATAAGATGGCATATTATAGAGTACTGAGTAGCCATAATAGCTTCTGAAATAATGAAGTTATTCAATAAATTAAATAATTTTCTGCTCTTTTGGTGTTATTCAAGTAGAGCTTAAGCATCATACAAGGGTAATCAGTACCTATTACAGGTAACTGCCGTATTTTACTTTTACATTTGAAAGTTTATACAAAATTATGATTCACACAGACTTTTTACAGAATTTGAAAAGTATTTGTAAAAATGTCATCCAGCACTTAAGAAAATATGAAAGCTTAAAAAAACCAAAAAAACACTAGATCAGCATTCACTTCATTGATTGTATCAAGTAATTTCACCAACTGAGTTCTATAAGGCAGGTTGGTTTCTTAGAAGGACTGGGATTTCTTGTAGTAAAGTAGCTCTTTAATAAAACCGATTCAAGATTGGAACTGAGAAAGTGAGAGTGTATTTTTAAGTTTCAAAAGAACTGAAACAATTAAAGATTCAGAAGAGGCACTGAAACATGATTCCATAAGGACTTTCCAGGAGATTGTCTCTTCGCTGAGTTATTTTTCCATCTTGCGCTATTGAAGAAATGGGGAAAGTATTATTAGTTTATTACATACAACATTCTGCATTTATTTGACTGGACTTTATAACCTGCATTAACTAATCATGCTGCTATAGATTAAATAAACCTAAGGATCTAACTACATAGCAGCCTGTTCAGCATTTTAGTACATAAAGGAAGAAGCAGAAGGATTATTGGGAAATAAATATATTTTAAATTACATTCATGCACTTACACCTGGACAAGCATATCTGGCAGTGTCATTATGAAGTACCTGTGATTATTAAGTCTTTTCTCATGGTTTTCAAATTATTAAATCACATACATAATTTTGTTTTCATGTTTTCATGATTTTTGTATGCTTTTTAGACTGCACACCACTTAATAAGATTTTTTTAAAAAATTAAATGATAAACATTTTTATACTAAATAAAACAAACAATGTAACATTAGAAACTTTACAAGTTAAACCACTATTAAAACTGATGCTCACAGATTCTCTGAAGTTGTGCTGCTGCAATTGTTGTCATCAATTGGCATACATAACCGGCTCTATAACATCTGTGCTTATTATTAACATTCCAAAAGTAAGGAGATGGGAACTGTTTCATGTTGATAATGTAATAGGTTCTTTTTTATAACTTAGATGTAACCCACAACTTTTTTTATAATTGTGCATACCTGTTGTCTAAGAACAGCCATTTTCTCCATCTTCTTGCGAAACACTGTGCATGGCAATGAGACTTTCACATTGCTCACTTTCGTCAGATGTTCTACAAAATGATACAGATTGTGAAATTTGTATTTATATGCAGCATTATGAAAAACAGACAGGCACATCTATAATGCTAGTCCTGATAGGGAAAATATCTTGACTTCGATGAGAAATTGTCACGCACAGCATTTTGTTTTACATTCTTCTCTCCACGTTTGTTGGCTCTAAAATTAAATTGATAACTAAAATGTGTACTAAGGAAAAGTATGTTTATTAAAAAAAGAACAGCTTAATTATCAGACCATTTTGATAGTTGTTTATTTGTCAGGGGTTACTTTGTAAAAAATATAAATGATTTGTACTTTTTTTATATACATCGTTTTCCTCAATGTCCTTGCTAAGTGTTATGTTAAGAATTATTTGTGCCTTGATTATCTGTAAAATGAGCAATTCAAAGACTGTCAGTGGAATAATGTTTTCCCAAACTAGAATACTGTTGAGAAAAGTATGCTGTAATAAGAGATTCATAATTTAAGAATTTAGAACAATGTCCAATGAGAACATATTTCAGACAGTTGAAACCAGATCATGCAAACTAATCAAAGTTGTGTAGATGAAGTTTCATGCCCCTCACATAGCTGTGTAGAAGGGGGAATTTCAACTCATGCAAGATATATCTGTTTATATTCTCCGTACTGTATAACTATTAAAAGTGCAGGTGCCCTAACCGCCTTTTCACCTGCCCCCCCATCAACAGTGGCAAAACAAAGGAATAATAAAGATATGCATCAAAATAAGTCCAGTAGGAATGGAAAGAGATAAAGCTGTAAAGAAATGATCCCACCTCTGAATACGGTGTTTTCTGCAAATGAATACAAAAACTCTTCTAATTCCCACCATCACTGGATCCCAGTTGTTGTAGTGACATAAGAGAGTTGCAATGAAAAATGAAAAGAATACAGGGATTGCCCCGGCAAAAAATAACCAAGAAAATTGGACCTGAAATTAGAACAAGGATAGCATTTTGCTTTTAAAATATCAATTTGCTATTCCACCAATAGTAAAAGTGGAGTAAAGGAAGAAGGTATTTGGTCATTACAGAAATCTTGGAAAACATTTTCCTAGATGGAGTAGATCTGTGTGAGGTTTTAAAACACAGTAATAGGAATATCCATCTCATATTGGCACTTTATTTGGAACGGCTGCCAATGTTATCACATACACTATTTATATGCAAGTAAATGAAGTTACCCAGTTTACAAAATCAGAAGCCCAAGTGTTGCAATCAACTAATTTTTACACATATTTGATTAAAAGTTGGACTCATCAATTTTTTAAAAAAATATTGGTTGCATCCCAAAAGGTTGAAAGGCTGTTTCACACAACTAGTTTTCTTCCTTCTCCTCTAAAAAGTAAAGGTAAAGGACCCCTGTCCAGTCGCAAACAACTCTAGGGTTGCGGTGCTCATCTTGCTTTACAGGCCGAGGGAGCCAGCGTTTGTCCACAGACAGTTTTCCAGGTCATGTGGCCAGCATGACTAACTGCTTCTAGCGCACCGGAACACCAAAACCAGAGTGCACGGAAACGCTGTTTACCTTCCTGCCAGAGCGGTACCTATTTATCTACTTGTACTTTGGAGTGCTTTCGAACTGCTAGGTTGGCAGGAGCTGGGACTGAGCAACAGGAGCTCACCCCGTTGCAGGGATTCGAACCACTGACCTTCTGATCGGCAAGCCCAAGAGGCTCAGTGGTTTAGAGCCCTCCAAATGTCTCAACTGAAGCACATGGGCCCCGTTTCAAGAGCTTGGGTTGTGTCATGGGGAGCTGCAGCTGGACCAGGAACTGCCCCCAAATCAGCCACGAGAAGATTGAAAGCTTTTGCTTCCAGTTTTGATTAACCAAAGTTAAACTTCAGTTAATTTCAACTATGGTTGTTGAATCAAGCCAAATTCAATCTCCTCTACCTGCTGGAGCAGAGAAGAAAGAGTGTGCAAGCCTTAAGCTTGCTGCAGCTCATTCCTGGAACAATAAACTGAATTTCATTAATACGTCCAAACACAGCCACTGTGAAGAAGAAAGAGTTTTGTGCCAATTTTCCACCCAGGCATCCATCTTTCTTTGTTGCTGCTTCCTTCTTGCTAGGTACATCGTGCAATGCCAAGACTTTGCTACTGCCACCTAGCTCCACAGAGCCATAAGTGGGAAAACCTGTTTTGTAGTTCATGGACCTGAAAGCCAGTGGGTAGGGGAAAGGTAAAAAACAAAGGAAGAAACATTGTATACTAGGGATCAGAAGCATTTCAGCATTGGATACAGCAGAAAGAAGCGTGAATTATTTAATTTGTGGGTCTGAATTGTGCAAGTTATTTGGACATCAATCCAAAGCCATTGTTAGCAGCTGAGACTAGTAGCTGCATCAAATGCTAATCTCACACTATATTGGAAATGTCTCACTTTAGAATGAAAGTGTCACAACGAGGGCAAATTCTACCAGCATTAAAAATGAATATGAAAACGAGACAACACTTCCACTGTGACAGGCTAAAATGCAACCTGCCGTATGCTTCATTCATCAAGTAATTTAGGTATTTCTCATGCCATCTACTTAAACAGTTTTCCTGCTGCGTCCCTGACATACTGATAGAGTATTTTCATTTGTCAAAATACCCATGTTCCTATAGGATCTCTGCACCTCTACTTGAAAAACAGCAACAACTACCTGAATTCAATAAAATCCTTCCTGCTGTAGAATTAAACCTGAACTGTATCTAAAAGTAATCTTATTTCTGACAGCTGGTAACTTAACTCAACTTACTGTTCATGGACAAATACCCCTAACTACTATAGCACCATTTCTTATTCTGTTCAGCAATGAAGGATAAAGTCAAAGCATGTTTCCAGCAAGGCTTTCATTGGCAACTACAAGAGCAAGCATGCCTAAAACCTCTGCAATAACATGATAGTTTGACCATGATGGAGACATGTTGCAATGCGGACATAACAGTCCAACGTCATGCTCTATTTACTCCCATTTAAAGAACTCTTAATGCACTTTTAACTCCTGTTATTCTAACTAGAACCACCAACATTCTTGGGTTTTCTATGAAAAGTCAAACCTTTGAAGACCTTTGAGCAGTCATAGGCAAACCCGGCCCTCCAGATGTTTTGGGACTACAACTCCCATCATCCCTGACCACTGGTCCTGTTAGCTAGGGATGATGGGAGTTGTAGTCCCAAAACATCTGGAGGGCCGAGTTTGCCTATGCCTGCCTTTGAGGCTTCTAAACCCATACAAAATTATACAGACCTTCTACCCGCCTAATCAGGATCTAATTCCCATAATACAGACTTCTAGCAAGTTAGGAAACGTCTTTTATTTGTAGAAGGTATATAAAGACTCAAAAGCTTAATCACTGGTTCAGTGACCAAGCAGGTTCCATGGCCTTGTGCAGAGAGGCTTAGAAAGAGACAATAGAGCTCCATTTCCCTGCTCTGCAAACGCAGGCACCCAGAAACCTGGAAAATGGGTGGCCCATGTGTGCCTCCCGCATTCTCGTGCAGCCCTTGCTCTGTCAAGAAATATGAGCTTGGAGGACAATGAGAGGCATGCACAGACATCTCATGTCCTGGATTGCCCTGGTGGCACTTCTATGTGTCTAGATAGGTGGGGAAGGAAGGAACAGGCCTCTGTTATGCCCTATGTAATCAGTGAGCTTGCAAGGATCGTGCCCATTACATTCCCCCCCCCTCCATTTTTTTTAGAAAAGCCACCTACTTATTTCACCTTATAAAAAGAGAAGGATGCATTTAAGGAAGTGAACATTGCAATTAAGTACAATTTATTTCTCCCTACCACAGCTATTTTAATTCTCCCTAGTCATGTGACATTGCTAAGAGTCCTAACCAGGGCAGTTCTTACAATTGTCATTAATAATAATAAAAATAATAAAATACATTACCTTTTGCATGCACATATCGGCTATTATGGACAGAGGTATTGTAAGGCTCAGAGCAAGTGTGCCTATCAGTGATGAGGTAAGAAAACAGCCCCTAAGAAAATGTTAAAATATAAAACACTTGAGTTTAAAAACTAAACAGGGGAAGTGTAGAAGCAAGTTTCATTGTTGTATACACCATGGATAAGCATAATTTGTGGACCTGTTGTGGCCTGCTAAACACATTTCTGAAAGCCAAAGCACTTGGAAAACGGATAATAATACAAAGAAACTCTAAATAACCTTACTTAGCTGAGGAGACAAAACTGAGAACACAAACTGCACCAAGATCAGAAGACAAATAGAGAAAGACCAGCTCAATAGTTTCACACTTACCCTACACCTCAAGTCTCATGGTTTTCAAATTTAACTAACAAATTCCAGGTTTTTACCTTTGAAATCATCTATTTTTTCAAAAATTAATAAATATCATAATTCCCAGCTGTGGCCCAACTCAAGTAGTGTTAATATGTATAATGTATTTCCAATCCAACACTAGTCTTACAGGAAATAAAGTCTTTCACTGGACTACCCATCGCAGTTCTCTTAATGATTCCAGAATCAAGTGAGGACTCACACATCTTTGAGTCATCATCAATTAACTAATGCATCTCACTACTATTTACCTGCATCATCTGTATTCAATACAAACCAAATCACTATAGACAGTTCACACATTTGACTTTTCATTATCAAGTGATTCATCAAGTAGAGAGAGACTAACACTGTAATTCTAAGTGTGTCTACTTGAAAGCAAGCCCTACCAAGGACAAGGAAAATGGGTATAGGTTTGCAGCCTAAGTGAACATGGATACCGAGACTTTGATCCTACAAACTGGACATTCGCAATTTGATTCAAAGGAAACTATTTTAGGTAATCAAAAAGCCATTGCACTATTCAGCCCCTTGATGATCAGGGTTGATGATCACAGAAAAATTATGCAACAATGTCTACATACAACAGATAAGATTCAAAGCTGCACATGAACACAGAGCACCTACATATTTCCCTCTGACTATTTCTCCATGGAGCTCTTCTTCTCTCCCATTACTACCACCTAGAACCTTTTCCCAGCCAAGAACTGAGACTTCTTGGCAATGAGACTGGGCAGGAGAATGAGAACTGAACTGCATATGCTGCTGTCGCAGCACTGACATGTACCCGGTTTAATTCACAGTACTTTTGCAGACTCAGATGGCTTCTTAAAGAGAGAAAGAGTGCACATTTCACAGCGTTGTGCTGGAAGCCTCCCAACTGGCTGTTGGGGAACTCTGGCAATAGCCTGGGGGGGTCAATGGTCACTTGCTCTGGACAAGCAGAGCCCTGCCTTAATAAGCTAATATATACACTAGCAGAGTGCACCTGCCTTTGCTACTCTGGTTGCATGAGTAAGAAAGAAAGAGAGGATTTAGCTCTTAAGCACAGCCTTGCATGACTTGTAAGCTGAGTCCTAAGTGGCTGCAAACATGTCGGGATTCATACATCACCTTTAAACTCTGGTTCAAAGCTAGTGCCTAACCTTGATTTGTTTGACCTTAACCATAGTTCCCAAATTGCACATCATGGGAAGCTACATACTTGCAACTCATGTGAAGGGGGGGGGGGAGATAAGCAGGTAGATGCGGCTCATGCCTATCATGGCTTATTGAGCCAGGAATTTTAGCGCTGCATTACATACATAGTCTTTCTTCTACTTAATGAAATTTAGTGCTTCTTGGTAATGACAAACAATATCTGCGTTGATAACTTTTAACACAGTATTTTGCAATAACCAGTGCCCGGTAAAAAACAGTCCTAGCTCTTTCGGTAAAATGCAGCCTCGTTTGTTGACTCCTTAATAGCAACCTGATATTAATATGAAACAATGAATCAGAGCTAGCCACATACCACAGCCAGAGAAATTCAGACAGGACGGTTCCAACAAGGCCATTGATGACAATGCACATAAGGACTAATTTACTGGGAAATTCAAAGTTCTCAAATCCAGTATAATGGAGTAAAAAGAAACCTGGCCAAAGCAGCAGCAAATTAAACAAGCCAACAAAACCTGCAAAAACCCAGAATAATAAAGTGTTAGCAACAAAACCAAAATAATTAAGCGTATCTCTACAGTAGTGAACTTCTCTTGAACTTCACTACTTCTTTAGTATATATGTATGTCAGACTCTTTACAGGATTCATTTGGTAGATAATCGTCACATCAAATTCACAGGATTAATTTTTTAAAAAATTAATAAGTAGAATTGCTAGGATAGTCCTCTAACCTGGAATTAGATATTTTATTTATTAAAATAGGTATACCCTCACTGTTTGATTAAAGCACATCACTAGCAGTGTGTGCTAGAACAAGAGGAGATACTTATGGGTAGGGTATCCTTTCTACTATGGGCAGAAAAGACACCCTAAGATTGTACCTGGTCTAGAGGAGCTGTATAAGCATTCCATGTCAATTCACACAATTCAATATCCTGTCTACATTTGCCCTTAAGTTTTCTTAAAGGAAAAGGCAGTGACAATTCTGCCCTCTTCTGGGTCCAAAAGGACCTGCGTATCAGTGATTGCACATCAAGTGGATGTGCCTAAAATGGTTGCTGCCTGTACATTTTTACAAAACTGGATCCTAGTGAGCAAGACTTGGTAACAGAAAATAGTATTGTTTCAAGTTCTGTTCTTACCAAAAAACATTGGTATATCAAGTTTGTCTTCTCTGTCTACTTTTCGTTTTATCATGACTATGTAGATTGCATAAAGCATAGCTCCCACAAGAGACCACAAGGACCCTGTAGATTGGGGGTGGGGAGAAGAAAGCCACACAACTTGTGTTAAAATAAAAGTATTAATTGCTATACTATGGACTGAATTTCTTACAAGTTGACATGCTGTTAAGATGTTTCATTTATATTCAAACAAACAAACCATATGAAGCAAAAAGGGAAAGCATTGCAAAACAACATAAAAGGGTGACAGCCTAATCTAATCCTGAGCAGAATGGATCTTCCTCTACTTCCGACTACAGTTCCCTATGTGGCCCCACACCATCTGTTCTAGAGCACTCCCCAAAATAATCTAGAATAGAGAGGATGCAAGGGACTAAAGCTGGGAGAAGGAGAATTCCCATTCCATTCAGAGACATTCCCTTGGAGGACAGTGGATATCATCTAAAGCAGTGGTGGTCAAACTTGGCCCTCCAGCTGTTTTGGGACTACAGTTCCAACCATCCCTGACCACTGGTCCTGTTAGCTAGGGATGATGGGTGTTGTAGTCTCAAAACAGCTGGAGGGCCAAGTTTGGCCACCACTGATCTAAATTATTTTATAAAGAAAGTGCTTCTTCTACAACTGCAATCCGTACATGATATTACGATAAAAAAATTATTGTATTTTCTTGTAGTTCCTGTCTCAAGAATGTACAGTAATGTCTACTCAGATATTTCAATAAACAATAATTAGATATTTTGGGAAATGTACCTATTGTATCTCTTCCAGCAGATTTCTCAGACCCAGACAGATTCACAAGGACAACGCCTCCAATGCTATTTGAGAAATAAAGTATTATAGTTCAAGCTGAGTTTAGTAAGACATTTTGTGTGGAAATCACTTAAAAATATTGCCTATCTATAATTATGAGATAAGTATATTAATATTTTGTATTCCTTCTTTGCTATGTCACTCAGAATTATATAAACCAGGATTAACAATGCTTTGAAAAGCAAAGCATCATAATGGTTCAGATAATCAAAAACAAATATAATTTTCTTATATTTCTTGTTTATAGAAAGTATACACATATATCTGAATGTGTAGAGAAGCCCTTAGGATGAAGTATAAGCTATTTTAATATGTGAACATTTTCATAACTAAGTACACTAGACAATCCAAATGCCCTATGGAAAAGTTAATATTAGATAATTTCACACAGTCATCTGATTTAACAAGGTTCACCTGGCCATAGTAACACAAAGCAGCTCAGGTTAGGACTCAGTGACAATTCTAATCCTGTGTTACATGTTGCAAAATGGGGCTATGAGCAATTATTGGCAGACCAACTTTCAGAACAGGAGCAACATTTGAGCAGGCATTCTGCAAACTTATTTCCCCTACAGCTGTTCAAGATCTGCTGCACCTAAAAATAGTGACAAAACCTGCACTACTAAATCCAGCTATCTAGAAGAATGTAAGAAAATTCAAGCCTGTAGGAGAGAAGAAAATTGGAGATTAAGGAGTCTATATTCTTACCTTAAAATGACAGCTAACAATTTTGAAAGGGTAAACCTATCACCACTGTTACTTGGAAACACTGCAGCTAGGATTAAGGTAAATAATCCTGTGAAAAGAAAGAATTTAAGATTTGTGGGGGGAAAACATTGAATACACAATACAAAGAAATACTTTACCAGATGAAAACACACTGAAAAACATGCTGAAGAAAATTGATTGGGATCCAAAGTAAGTTAGTCTCACTTAGGCCCCACTGAAATAAATGTAGCAAAGTTAACCAACTGAAGTTTCATTAATTTCGGTGGAATCTAGCTGTTACTAACTTACATCCTATACCTTTTTAAAAGGAGGCTCTTTTGGGGGGGGATGTTACTGGATTATTTTTATTTTTGATGTTATATATTGTGATTTTTATTGTGAACCGCCCTGAGACCTTCAGGTATAGGGTGGTATATAAATTCAATGAATGAATGAATGAATGTTATTAACCATGTGTACTCAGAAGTAAGTCCTACTAAATTAAATGGGGCTTAGTTCCAGGTAAGTGAGGTTAGGACTGCAGCCCTAGCTCCTTATACCCAGGAGTAAGCACCACTAAATTAAACAGAACTAACTTCTGAGTAGACATGGTTCAGACCACAGCGGTAGTAGCCTGGGTCTAACACAATGGCAATAACCAATATTATTCTCAGAGGAGACTCCGCAAAACCAACTTAAGTTGGAAACCACTTTGTTTCAAAGTTTTATTTAGGAAGACTTTCCCTATTAGCACAATTAATTATTTAGCATACAGATTGCATGACTACATGAGGTGGTTTCTCTAATAATTATTTAATCCTTTAGCTCTTACTAGGTTCATGTATAATAAAGATTATGTGTTATCGGAGTCCTTTGTTCCTGTTGCCTTTTCATGCTGAGCCAATACTGAGTTGCCAGAGGGTGGGGGACTGTTCAGAACATAACCAGAATCCCCTCCTACTCAGCATTTTAAAAAATGATTCATTGTTATCAAAATGTGCATCCAAACTTTCTAGAAAACATTCAGGGCATCTTTTAAAGAATGGCAACGAAATAAATTGTTAGAGGAAATTCTGTTTACTTGATCTGGGCTTGTAGAAATACAATTTGAGCGTGGGACATGGTTGGTTTTTTAACAGAAAAAGACACTTGAAGTTTGGGGGCGGGAGGAGAAAGAAAGAAAGAAAATTATCAGGTATAGTTTTGCAACCAAAAATATAGAATAATGTCCTTCTTAAAACACACAATGAGTTGGATCAAGCTTATTTAATTGTAGTTGCTAAAATTAAGTGTATCAACAGTCTTTTCTGTAAGTTTCATTTCTTACCAGACGTTGAAGACAGAATATTAACGATGGCCACTTGGGTGTCCGAAAGCGCTTCTTGATAAGAGAAGTTTGCCAAGAACCACTAGGAGATTAAACAACATGTGTTAGTTTTTAAAAGTTAGAAGGAACTCACAAACCATTAAAAATAAACCCAAAAGGTTAATCAGGTCTTTGCCTATATAGTGAGAGCATGCTTGGGAGGTAGGAGGGATTCAATTTATATTAAGAGGAAATGAAAGGCTTAGGCAGTTAGATGAAAAAATAATTCGGGTTATTTATATACCAAGTGTGAAATCCAATGGTGTGTGCACAAGCAGGACAGACTTCCGCTCATGCAATGGGAATTCACATTTCACTCCATCCTCCTAAATCTACTCCAGAGGATCCCCAATCCTCCGGAGCAGATGGAGGGCGTGGGTGGAGGAGAGGAAGCTCTGTTGCACAAGTGAAGAACTGCTCATACGATGTTGAATTTTGTCGTAATGGTTTGCAGCTGCTAAGAAAAGTAGATAAACATTCTAGAAGAAACAATGATTGTTCACATACTTTCAGACACTTAGTTGTTGCTTTGAAAACACCTTGAACACAATGGACATATAAAATGCTTGGAACTATCAAAATACCAACATATTAGTTCCAAACCTGAAAGAGAAAATTATGCTCAAAGTTCATTCATTTCAATTGGACTTAAGTCTCATGGGACAAATTAAGCCATGATTAAATTAAGGGCTACTAACTTTCTCAGGACTGAGGCCACTATATTTCTCCGTGGTTCAAAAGAAACATTGCATACATATCATACCACATGCTATTTGTTGAAAACAATGAAAGAAATGATTGTCCCATGGCTCTCAAGTTCCTCTTTGGAAACTGCTAGACATATTTCCCAACTTTACCAGATAAAGTCATATGAAATAAGTTAAGTAACAACAAATCAAGTCTGCAAATATACATCCTAATTCTAAATACTATATATAAATACTAAAATCAACTAAATGTACATATAAATGTCTAATACACTTCGAAACTAAATGCAACACTGCTTTAGATCCAAAAGGTCACAAGAGTCTGTCCCACCAATCTATAAAGCTAATAATTTTTAACACTGCTGTGCTAGTGGTGAAATGGAAAATACTTCAATGTCTCTTTTATCTTTAAATTCAAAACCATCATCTAGAATGTAAGATGCAGTAGATTTTTTTTTTTATTTCAAAATGTGGCTAGAGATAAAGTATTATAGCTGGAACTTTAATCTGCCTGATTGGTGGCGGCCAATTTTAATCAGTGTTGGTAAATGGAACTGAAAGTGAAAATCACATTTTTTGAAGCTCTTTTCATTTGGGTGAATTATTGCAACAGAGAATGAAAATATTAAAGATAGCCTTTACTTTTAATAATGAATGACAGCTTCTGCTTATTAAATTGTAAACTCTCTCGCCTGCAATAAGTCACCTGTAGTGAAGTCTTTTGTAAACAACCACAATTAAAGTCAATCAGTTATAAGCAATTAATTAATGAGCAGACAGCCCCCAAAGATAATCCCTTTCTCTAAATGGCATGAACAAAATATAATGACTAGCTCAACACCCAAAATGATCCATTCTATTTTTAGTCAAGCCTTCAAAAATAAAAATATAAATAATAGGGCAAACAGAATACAAAATAACCAACTTCCCAATAATATATATTTAGAAACAATACTTAATAAAGAATAGGTGACATACCACAAAGCAAAAGAAAAAGCTGATTTTGGCTACTTGAGATGCGGTAAGCTTCCCTACAGCTTTTAATATTGAATCCTGTTCCTTAACTGTTGGATAAGACATACGAGACAGCTTTGCTTCCAATGCATGGCTTGATGGGAGTTGTCGAATCTCCATAATATTACTGAACCTTACACGAGGCTTTTTGGGAGCTTTAGGGGGGAAAAGAGTGGTGCAGGTCATTATTATACGTAGCAGATTGGAACAAAAATAATAATCCTCAAGATAAGGCCAAGACTCCCAAATTGCAATTCAGAGTATGAACCCATGTTTAACTACTTGCACAGTTAGTTTTATGAGAGCAAAATGGTTTGTGTGTGTCAGGAACATGGACTATCCATTTGGCGCAAAAGAAGAGATGTAATTGAAAATTATGGCTTTAAGAGTTTCTATCGCCATTAAACATATTCACTGTATTTAAGGAACGGGCCAGGCTTCCTCAGTTTGGGTGCAGCTACTTCTCTTTTATGGAAGATGCCTTCCATAAACATGTTCTCAGAAGAAGGGCAAAGTTAAGTATTTAATATTACAACTTTGTCTTTAAGCTAGTTTAAGTATGGCTACTACACCATCTTGTGGTAAAACCAACCAAAGGCTTAGAACAGCCATTGGTTACAAAATCCTGTTAGTCTATTTCTAGGCCTATGTACTTGTTTCTTAGAGAAACTGATCTACAGCAAAGATGATTTTCCAGGCTTCAAGTGAACTGTGTTGTTCAACTTTCATTCATCACATACAGTTCAATGCATGTAAAAGGAACCAACATAATCTCAGGATTAAATCCACATAGCAATACACTGGGGGGCACATATAGAATCTATATTAGAACACACTATTGTATTTTGAGGCTGCAGTAATGCCTCTGGCAGCAATTGGCTGAACCTGTCATGTCGTAGGATGTTCACATTACTGTACAATGGTTTGGCCACCTTGTAATAAATACAATATCAAATTGTGCAACAAAGAGAATGAGGCCCACCTTGCACATAATGGCCAATCATTGTGTGATGTCCAAGTGGGGGATTTGTTTTGCTCAGACAAGCTATAGATGTTAACCAAGAGCAAACTTTGATTTGAGTGAAACAAACCACAAGCACCAGTTCAGACATAGTGCTAAATCGGGGATTGTGGTATGTTTCTGCCATTAGCTAGAGGGGAGAAGTGAAGTGGAAGCCTTCTGTGGGTTTATGAAAAACTATTAACTATGGCTTACCATAACATGCAGCCAATTTGTGCCAACATGCAAAAATAGCAAGCTGCATTTGCTAAGTTTCAGTTTCCCAAAATTATAATGAGCTACATTTTTTCAAAATTCCACTGAATTTTGAAAAGTTCACTGAATTTGTGAAATTACACAAAAAATATTAAACTTGGGATAAGCTCCCTTCTCCAATGCAGTGTTCATCAATTCATTTTAGCATTTGCCTTCTGCATGAAGTCCAAACATTGATGTAATTGTCAATTCTCTGATTTTTTAAAAAAATTAAAAGTAAAAAAGCATCTTAACTGATTATCTCTATTTTACTACTGAGCATCTTTACCTGTTACCATATTTAGAAAATACTGTACTTCAGGCCATGTGGGTACACAGGTTTTTAGGTACCACAGGAAAAGTTGCTTTCATACTTTCAACATGACATAAACATTTATCAGTTGATACAGAAAACTGTATTTTGACATTTTGAAACATTTACTTACTTTTTTCAGTGTCACTGTTAGTGTTGCTACATTTTTCACTTGGCAAGTCATGAAACTTTACAGGAACATATAATGGTTCACTCTGAAATGCAACATAATGAGTTCCAAGTTATCATAAGTTATAAAAAACACACACCCAAATAATAACAACCCCCCCCAAAATAAAATTTACTAACAGTGCAATCCTATGTATGTTTACTGAGTATATGCGGACATAAACTGATTTAATGTATACTACAATATACAAATACAAAACAATGTACAAAACAGCTGGACCAACTGCAAGGTACATGTGCACAAGTTGCTAACTTGCGATAAAACTGTTAACCAAAAAGAGCAAGAAGGAACATATGATGAGAAGAAAATGAGCTGCATTTCACCATTTAAGGTAAATAAAACATCCTGTTGTGTATCCCTCCTTCTTTAAATGAAATATGTGGGAGAATTCAAATACTTGTTCTGATATTTCCAGTAGCAGAGTACCACATTCCCTTGGACTGATGGATTAACGGCTTTAACTCTAATTGGTGGTTTGTTTTTTTAGGTACCGTATTTTTTGTCCCATAGGACGCACCTAATTTTTTGGGGGGGGATTTCCCCCCTTTATTTCCCCCCCAAAACCAGGTCGGGGAACAGCGGGATGACGGCGCTGCGCCTCCCCGCTGTCCCCCGAGCTTGTGGGGCTGGCCCATGTCTGCCCGGCGCGTGGGGCGCTCTGCTTCAGGGCACCCTGCGTGCCGGGCGGCAGGCTGCTATCCGCAGCGTGGGGAGCCCCGCGGGAACTCCCGCAGGGCTCCCCACGCTGCAGATGTCTGCCCGGCGCAAGTATTTCAACTTTGCCTTTTTTTGCTCCTTATTGATTGTTGCTAATGAGTTTCCAAGGAAGGACAGATAATGTGCTTAACTACGTGTTTTGAAGATGGCCTTATAGATTCTACTGTTTTGGATATTCAGCCACAACTTAATGAGAGAGTGCCTATACAATATAGGCTACAGTTGCAGACAAATTAAGATAATGCAACATGGCCATAGAAATCTTCCACCTGGGCACTTCACTGCTTTTTATACCTGCCACAGATTCTTCATATTGAAAAAATAAGGCTGTGTGTGTATATCTTTATCTTGCATTACATGATGGCATTTTAGGCAAACAATGTTTAACTATAACTGAGTGACTGAAGTGCTTGAACCACATGTATTTAATAATTCCATGGGCCAAGCATAACATCCCCTAGTAAATAAGATTCATTTTTGCTCACATGCCATATACGTTTACTTTCCCTAATCCGGTTCCTATTTAAAATGGCATTATTCAGAGCTCTGTGTTTATTTTCAGCACTAATTAAAAACAGACAAGACATGAATAGCTATTACCACACAGTAGTAGATGGTAGGGAGGGGCAGCAGGACCTATCTGACCTCCTGGGAGGTAGGTCACGGCTGCTTCCTGGGAAGGAGAGTGGGAGGGACAAGACAGTGGGGAGGTTGGTGCTGTGCAAATGGATCTACAGAGAGGTCAGGTAAGAACCCCACTGTCCCACCCTGCTGTCTGCTACTGTTGCCGCACAGAACATTACAATCACTTAAATGAGAGAGAACTTACCAAAGAACTATTTACAGTATTGTCAGTTGTACAGGCTGCAAAATAGCCTTCAGCATCTGCAAACTAAACATTTAAAATTCAGCTGAGACATTACAATGAATGTGTAGAGTAAAAACAACACATTCCACACTGAAGTTAAAAAAAAGAAAGGTGAAGGACCCCTGGACGGTTAAGTCCAGTCAAAGGAGACTATGGGGTTGTGGCGCTCATCCTGCTTTCAGGCTGAGGAAGCCGGCGTTTGTCCACAGACAGCTTTCCGGGTCAGGTGGCCAGCATGACTAAAGTACTTCTGGTGCAACGGGACACCATGATGGAAGCCAGAGCTCCTGGAAACGTTGTTTACCTTCCCGCCACAGCAGTACCTATTTATCTACTTGCACTGGCGTGCTTTTGAACTGCTAGGTTTGGCAGGAGCTGGGACAGAGCAACGGGAGCTCACACTGATGACACTGTCATCAATAACTTCAGGTGAGATGGGACTCAGGAAGACTAGCCCACTAGTGAAGAAAAAACAGATCCATCTCCATTCTTGCCCCTTGGCTTGCTGCTAGGCTAGTTTCAAGCTGCTGCAGCTTCAAAGCCAAGTCTATTCTGGCATGAAGCCTACTCCAAGAAAGGGCCAGAGAAACACGTTAGTTCTACAAAACCAGTGTGATAGGGTTCTCTTGATTAAACGGACTGCCAACCACCAGCTGTATGATTTCCCCACATAACCTATTTTCTGGAATACGCTTAATACCAGCCAAACTTATGGTCAGTCGGAAAAAAAAAAAAAAAATTCAATTGATTATCCAGGAATTAGTTGGCAGCCTGAATTAACTTTAGTCCAGCAACTATACAAAATAACTAGTTTTATAAAACATTAAAGCTTCCTGTTTGAACAGTTCCTCTTCAAACAACTTAAGAGCTAACTATAAGTAGTCAAACTTTCACAAGATCACTCTGCAATCTCAGACCTTATAAGTAATATTTGGGAACCACAAGCCAGAACTGAGGAAGAGGGCTTTTGAAGTCCTTGTTTACCTAAAACTTTCACACTGTACCCTTTACTATTCTGTCCATCAGCCCTCAAATTGGAGAGGAATAGGAAAACAACACAGCACCTATCATTTTCCTGTGCTCCCAGCTTTCCTGTCCAATCCAAAATGTTAAAAACAGACCAGAGGAGGAAGGTGATTTCCCCATCTTCAAAACCTTCCCCATCTTCAAAAGCTTATGGTTAGCAGAGAGCTTAAGAACGAGTCCTGCTTTGGACAACATGCTATATCAAACCATTAGCTCAGAGTGGCAGTAAAAGGGAACAGGGAGGAGGGCATAATCTCTGCTCTGGAAGCTGGCATGCTTGTGTGGTCATGATAAGCCATAGTTTGGGTTACTGTGTGTTGTGCAAACCCGGTCAATGTGTGGGATCCCAACTATTCCATCAAAGATCAAAGGATTTGCAGTGGGTTTCCACATTCATGTGCTGTGTTGTTCTCTGTTCATCAAGAAAGCACTCTTCAGCCAAGGTAGAAATGCTTCCAGCTCACTAGTAGAGTCTAAGGGTGATGAATTGGCTATGTCTTGTTGAGAAACATGGATTAGCTAACCAATTCCCAGCTTTTAAAATACCATTTGGAAAGCATGAAAAATGGGTCTGATAAAGAATTCATTCACCACCACCACTGCCACTGTCTTTTATCAAAAGAGAAAACTCTGCTGAATCTTTGTAGACCAGTTCAAGAGAAATCTCCAAAACCCCCAAAAACATTTACTGACATCTTGTTAAATAGGTTAATAAAAACATTTCAAAACTGGCAGAACATAGCAAAAAATATAAGCCACGTGTCCAAATACTGATTCTAGGCACATCTTAAATTTTATATCATTTATTCCATTTCAATTCCACTAAGAAGCATTACTGATGCAATTAATGCTTCTGTTTATGCAATGATTCACTTTGAAATGTTAGACTAATGAAAGCATTATTTTGCTCACTGAACATCTGGGGGTTTAGCTTATGCTAATTTATGCAGGATTCCCTCTCCAACATAAGCTTTGATTTTGTGTAATTTACGGAAGCCAAAGTGATGGCAAAATTATTAAATGGAAAATAGGCACTTACAAAAGCCGCATGTTTGCCGCGAAGGCCACGTGTGCACTGCTGCCTCCAAGGTTTCCAAACAATAAATCCCAAGAGGTAAAGAACAAACATGGATGTTTTTGCAAATGTACTGAAGAACGGCTTATTGTACACAGTGAAAACATACTGCAAAGGGAAGGAAAAGAAGGTTAAATGATAGACATGTCATATGACCAGCATAGTCTTACTGATCAACTCTTGGGTACTACTTCCAATTTCTTGACCGTCACAGACCATGGAAGGGCTACCGTATGGTCCTCCAGATGTTGCTGGACTAGTTCCCATCCACCATTAACATTAGCCATGCTGGATGTGGATGATTGAAGTGGAGTCCAACAACATCTGGAAGTCCACCAGTTAGCCCCCTGCAGTGGATGGATATACAAAGAGCAGAGGTGTAGTTCAAGCAAGAAAAAGCTACATATCCTGGAAAAGGAAGAGAAGAGATGCAGTGTTCCTGGGTGCGTATCTCAGAATTGCCCACTACACCACCAGCTAAAAGAGCTAACAACTGGGGGTGGCAAGCTGTTCTGGCACATGGCAGTATGGTGTTCTGGTATGAGGCTTCTGGCCTCCTACAACTTTTACCTGCTGTGGGTTAGATTCAAGGACAGACCTGGGAAGATGGCATTCCAATGACTACCTATGTTAGATAGAAAGCAGATAGAAAGCTAAGGTGGAACCTTCTGCATGGCAGCTGATGTCAAGAGCATTAACTCCTGGGAAGGGAGGAAGTACAGAGGGACATGATAAGAGCAGTGGGTTGTCCTGCGCAGGAATGGCAGCTTGCAACCTACCTGACTGCATCAGAGGCTAAATGAGAGACAGACTTTGCAATACTATCCTGCTCCCAAAATCTGAAATACAGATTTATACAGAAAAGCTACAAAACATCTGTAGCTGTTCCCCTCACCTAGGGAGGGAAGACCACAGTCCTTTGAAAACAGGAGGAACTCACAAGCTGCTTGGAGGTCAACTACTCTGGCTAAAAAAAATATTTAAAATATTTACAAACACACCCCATCGCAGCTCGAAATGCTCCCAAAGTAACTTAAGAAAATCAGCAGTAAAACACGCTCCCACCCTTAGGCTTACAATTTGAAAGTCAGGACACAAAGGGGATATGGGAGGCACCAAAATGAAGATGGAAACAGTTCAGGTAGCCTGATGAACAGCTAGGTAAGCTAAAAGGCAGCTAGTCGCTCAGTAGGTGTGATGGAATCGCCTCTTTCCCTCCACTCTGCAGCTGATGAAGATAACAAATTTATACTGGTCTATTCAGATGTAAACCTCACAGGTTTGATTGGGTTACTTTTAACTACATATGTAGGTTTCCTCCTATATATGTGGGAATTGAAAGTAACCCCTTTCCGACTCAGCACAACCCTACCAATGTGTTCTGCTGTCAGCGAATGATGAAACTAAAATCAGTTTTCACCTATGGGCAGCCATTCCATCAGGCTGCAGAGAAAAGGGAGAGAAGCTTGCCGATGCGCTCTTCAAACCACACAATCAGGGAGGGAAGCAAAGCAATGAAAACACACCAGTTTTATTTTCATCAAAAGAATAACATCTCTTCCAATTGTTCTGAAACTACATAGGCACAGAGACCAACCATTTTTAAAAGCCAGTGAAAATAAGGATCCAACAAAGCATGAAGGAAGGAACTCTGGTGGAAAGAAAAATTGGCCTGTAGGGGGCTACATAAAATGAAGACAGGAAGCAAACATGGCCCCTGAGTCACAGGCTGCCCACCCTGGTTTTAGGGAATTGACTCTCTGACTTAGACAATTCTGGGCTTAAATTACCACACACATCTCAGTGGGGGACTCTGAGCCTCTCACTTCTCTCTCAATCTAAACTATATCATAAGGTGGGTGTGAAGATAAAAATGAGATAATCCCATGTATGCTGCCCTAGCCTGCTAGAGGAGTATCGATTTTCACTTTAATGGATATAGACATCCTAAGGATGTCCCCATAAACTTTGCTAAGCCCACCTTCAGAGATTTAGCATATAGAGAGAACTGCTACCCTAAGGCAGTAATTTCTGTATCCAATCAAAAGGATGTATGAATGTCTTCATCTCTACACTGTCACCTATTCACACATTTTTATTCAGCTTCATATTATTGTAGGAACCCCTGAAAGCTACAATTCTTCTCCAGTTTAGGAATTCCTGCCCGAAAAATTGGGGCCCCAGCATATTTATGGAAGACTGTGTTTTGTTAAGAGTTTGCTGTTTAAAAGTCATACTTATAGGGGATTTGGAATTATGAAACAGAACTGGCAAGATTAATTGAATTTAATTATAATTCGTGACAGCATAAATGCTGGGAAAGGCTTCAGGCAGGACCAGAAATGTAGCTAGTCAGGTATGAAAAGCTGCTCACCCAGAACCAGTCAACCTGCTTCTAGCAAGCAAGTACTAAGATCACTGTACAAAGTTAATGGAGTGAGTGTTAATTGCTCTCCCTTGAGCATGCTTGGCTACTACATTAAGGTGAATACACTCTGACATCACAAAAGGGTTTGTCCACACTTATCTTTTGCCCCGCGCTTTCTAGCCACAAGCCTGCGCTTTCCCGGTTCGTGTCCGAAAGTTTTATCTTTTTGTCCTGCCACTTTCCCCAGGAATAGCAGATCTTTACCGCTGAATTGGAGCAAACAACAATTTGAGTTTTCCACAGATTGCTGTTTGCTCTGATTCAGCAGTAAAGAGCAGGTTTTCACAAGTAAAACAGCCTGGAGCTGTGCCTAGAAATGCAGAGCAAAGGTAAAGAGGGGTGGATGAGCCCCAAGACACACTTACCGAAGTGAGTTCAGAAGAAGCAACCCATATCACATCAACAAGGAGAAGAATGACAATTCCAAGAGCCATGCGCCTACGCTGACTGGGAGAACTGCTCTGTGGGTTCATCCGGTTCATGATAAAAATCCACACCATTTGTAATCTATGGCAGCAATAAATAAATAAATAAATACTTTTTTAAAACTATGTGGGCAACAGGCTTTGTGCTCCAGATCTGGATGGGACACAAACTCAAATAATAAGACACAGCTAAAATGTCAACTAATAACCAATCCAAAGGAACGAAACAGGAAGCCGTTTATTACAACTGGCCTATTACTCTTTCAGCTAATGTTTCTGTTAAAAACGTGGTCAATCCATGGGAATGTTGTTTTACCACTGGGGTTGGGCCCTGGTCTCAGAGTGTTTTAAAAAAAACCATAAAAAGGAAAGATTCAGGCACCACCAGCATTCAGGCCCCAAGCTGATTTCAGTTTTCACTTTTGATGGTGTGGGGCACTTGGAAGAAAGGCACAGGCAGGTAAGCATGGGAGCAGGTGTTTCTTTAGCAGAAAAAGAGAGGTCTACTTGTGCCCTTGTACTTATACTAGGATTACAGCCAATTGCAAAACAATGGAATCACTGACGGAAGTGGGCTTTTGAAGTCACATTTATAAACTATACTGTTACAATACACTGGGCTGGCTTTGTTCTTGGCTGCAGCTCCTGTTTAGCAAGGAAACAGCTTAAGCACAATCACTGGTTTGGCCATGCTAAGTCATACCTTGACCTAGCTCAGAACAATGAGAGAATAAAAAAGAGCAGGCAGGGACAAAATGACTACAAACCATAATCTGGCTTACTGTGTCATATGCGAATGAGGTCACAAAGTGGGATTTGTCAACTAGCTGACAAAATAAGCTTTTAAATAATAAATCTGCTAGTTGTAATTCCTAGCTCCCTCAAAAAAACACCCCCCCCCCAAAAAAACAACCACCATTGGAGCCAGCACCTATGTTTGTGTCACAACTATCTTAGGTTTTGTTTGACAGAAGAAATGGAATTAATCCGTGTTTGCTTTATTATACAGTCAAACCTTGTTCTGCATCCACCTCCACTTGCATCCGCTTCAGTGAACTTCCGCAGCAAACCCAGAAGTACCGGAATGGGTTACTTCCGGGTTCGCTGCTTGTGCAGAAGCGCTAAATCACGCTGCGCGCATGCGCAGATGCGGCACTTCGACGTACGTCATTTTCGGCTTGCGGGTGGGTCTCTGGAATGGATCTTGTTCGCAAAACGAGGTTTGACTGCATTGATAACAATGTGTTTGGATAAAGATGCTAAGTATCACTAGCTATACACGGGACAATTTCCATACCTGCTCAGTAACCTTTTAAAGTTAAAATAATAGCTGGACTCTGACAAGTTTCATGGCATCATGTTAAGGTGAAGGCTGCCTCCTGAAAAAACAGAGAAATAAAGGGTGTCAAGGGCTATAAAGAGACTATGCTTTCCTAACTTTGCCACCAGGCTTTATGTTTGCCATTTGAGCTAATGCACACACCTGTTCCACAATCAAAGTATTCCCCACATCCTTCACTTAAGATAGTCAGCAGTGTGTGTAGAAGGCTGGCTCTGTGTAAAACAAGCGTGAAAGTCAAAACAAAACAAAGCATACCCAACACCAATAACCTCAGTCATAATACAGCAGCCGCAGCTCAGTAAAGGGCAGCAGAAATGAAGCATAGATGGACTGTAAATTCCTGTTTCAGGCAGAAATGGAGAGCAGAAGCTTTTGAACAACAATGACATCAGAGTGCAACATGTCAAGCCCACAAACCATGCTGGACGGAGACAGCAAGACAGAGCGCTATCAGAAATAATACTTTAAAGATTTTTACAGATGTTTGCCAAGACAGATACAGCTTTTTTAAAAAAAAAAAAAAACCTGAGAGAAATATAACAACATAGGAGAACTTAAGACTCCTCAAAATCATTTTCCGATAATGAATAAAATATACCTTGTGTGAAACATAGCGTAGTGTAGTAATGTACCTATATAAAAACTGAATCAAAGGACTAAAGGAAACTATAAAACTGAGTTTCAGGTCTCATCATTTTGGAGGGTGGGAGCCACAGGTTTTAATGCATGTTTTTCTTTTCTTTTTTAATGTAGACAGCTATTGCATGGTGAAAACACATTCTTAAAAACAGCCATGGCATGATAATATATTTCTCACCTCTTGAACTGACAGACATATCTCAAGGATCATATTTTTTTATCTATGGGTTTGTGATGTTTCTGGAAAAAAACCAAAAGAAAAACCAATCCTTAGCAACTGTGCTTAGTAATGCTTTATAAAATGTTGACCTGTTAAATGTTTCACCCCTTTCATTATAGGATTAGATTATCCAGGATGTATTAATACACAATATGTACTGTATGGCAGAATACTGGACACACTTGAGCTTGCAAGTGTCTTTTGCTCACCGCTGAAATAAAAAATGACTTCAACCAGAGTCCTATGACATGCCACTTTATTTTCATATCTTTTTTTCCTTTTACTGCACTAGTAGATTCATTGCATTATAATAAAACTCTTTTCAAAGAAATGCATATTTACCATTTATAAAGGAAAATAATAAAACACAGCAAATTAGTAACTATTTGTTATGAATCATGCCAATTTTTGTAAATCAACACTCATAAAAACGTTCTGTTAACATGTCTGAGCACATCTAATTGCATAGGTTTTAACTCCATTCTGTATGTTCACTTTCAACAAATTTGAATCAATATCTTAACATCTATTCTTAATTTAATGAAACATGAAATATTGTTAAAGTTGGTCAACAACCTTGAAAAGCTGACTCATTTTTGCCAGTAATCCTTGTTCATGATGCCTTGGTGACCTCACAGAGGGATAATGTACACAATCATGGCACCACCATAGCAACTGGTTGAACAATTCTGCAGCCTTCTATACTTGCAAGACTTAAAGAAACCTTTGCTACTGAAAAATGACGAGGTAGTTAACTACATATTGGTCCATAAGGATTTATTGGTTCCACCTATAGTCCATTGAAAGCTCAACAATAAAGAGGGCACTATTTTGTCTATTAAGGACCAAGGTAAATAAATTCATTCTATGCAAAGATATGAATTTGAAATATCTTTCAAATATTTCATATTATATGAACCTAACAGCATAATTCTATACATGTCTACTTGGAACTGAGTTCAGTGGTGCTTACTACCAGGTAAGCAAGTAGAGGATTGCAGTCTAAGTGTTCAGCCAGTAGGGATATTTTTCATCACCAGTTCTGAGTGTCTGACTTGTAAACCGGCAGTGTAAACTGCATCTATAACCGACTATCTTTCTAATTAAGAGAGACACAGATGGAGGGTTTCATAGCAGCAACATCGAAATGTTATTATAACGATTTAAAAGGAATTGTTCTCTTTCCCAAAGCCTCAAGCTTCAGTGCTCAAACCGTGCTCTATCTGCCCAAATTACATTAAAGAAAGTGATGTGCTGAATATTAAAACTGTAACGTGCTCAGACAATATGAACTGATTTTGTAAATCTCTATTGTTTCATTCTTACCTGGATATGTTACTGTGCTGGCATCAAAGTGTTCTCTGTAGCACTACTGGTATAACTAGTTGTCAAATGTCTAAATAAGTAAGAAGACTTGGCATTAGTTCTGAAGTTCTCAGCATTCAAATTAACGTCAATCACATTTTAGTCTCTCTTTTTTAACCATTACACAACCATGCTTTTACAATTATGATACCTACTTTGTGGTTAAATAAAATCCATTCTTTATGTATCTTAAATCACCACACATTTGCATACACACATGATCATGAATCACTACTAGGAAAAAGGCATGCCAAGTTTGACCTGCAAAAAGAGAGTTCTTGCCAATCTCACTGCCCACCTTCCAATCTAGCATTCAAGCCAATGCTTCAGGTGGCACAATGCCCATCTACCTGTTTCTTCAAACCAAATATAACCCCCAAACCCCAAGTAGAAGGAAAGGAACCTCTGTCAAACCAGAAGGTTCACTTTTCTTCCTCATCAACTTGGCACTTGGGTATTACTTTTATTGCTTTGCTTGCTTATTAAGTGAAGGAGCTAAGGAACCCATTGCTCTCATCTCTTGCAACCCTGCATCTACTTTTAGAAGGTTAAAGATGTTCAAGATCCCAGTAGTGTTGCTAATGACAGTGACTGAGATGCTAAGTGTGAGCAGGTTCTGCAACTACCATCATACTTTTCTACTGCAACAGCATATTTTCCCAGAGCTATCATAACAAAAAGGAAAACAAACAATTGGCTACCATTGTGGTGGGGACTTAACTTGTTTTGCTCTTCTGGAGACACTAGCCAGTAAGGAATCAATACCTGCATAGCCCCATATTTAGCTCTGGATACTGAGTATGGTAGCATGTTAGGAAATGGCTCATCCATAAATAAACATACAGTTTTCTTTGAATGGGAAATAATACCATATACACTTTGAACTAGAGAGGAATTCTAAATTTTGTTTAATTCAGTATCAAAATTACTAGAATTTGATGGTAATTTTTTCAGATTGGAAATGTTTACTAACTAGGACACTGTTAGTAAGAGCCACTTCCAAATGCTATACTGAAACAAACTTTGCCCCTGTGTTTGCCTAAATCACATGTACTTCAGATCCATCAATAACAAATAAAACATGTTACTCCAATGAAGAAAAGCTGATGCCTGCCAAGGAAACAGACAGCTGCAAGTCAATGTTGATATTCAACAACTGTTTATACTTTTAAGATAAAAAGCACCTATATGCATAAAAATATTAGTTTGCATTCAGTGATGAATGCTGAAATTATACAAAAACCATCTCCTGAAGCCATACACCTGATTCAGCACACAGGATAATGTGCAGCTTCTTTCCAACATGGAGTCATGTACGGTACATCCCATATTCCATTATAGCCCTATTTACACATTCACAAGAAAGTAAGTGAGCTTAAATTAGGAGAGGGACAGAGGCATACATATTAAGATTCACCCTCAACATCTGCTTGCACCAGATCCATTTCAGACATTCACACATGAAGGAGGAAAGGCTATAAGCCCAATTGTGGTCCATTCTACTATAAGATAGTTGCTTACGTTTATATATTCCATTTGGGTGTCTATATATTGGCATACATATTCTGTGCAAGTTAAGCCAGGTTCTTCTTATTGCTGACACAGCACTGTCAAGTTATATGACGATATATGCATTTACTGAGTAACAAATATAGCCATGCTGGCCCATAAGACAAACAACTGCAGAATCCAAAGTTGGGCAATACTTTTACTAGGACCAAGCAAATTGTCACAAAACAATGATCATAATTTTGAGGCATTTTGGTACTGTGCCACTGTAGGTTTTGCAGTAGATTTACTGAGTTACAGAGGCATAAAAACAGACCCCTGCCTCTAAATAACTTTGGAAGTTGTCTCACACCTGAAAGTGGTTCTGCAGAATTTCAGAAGGGGGGGGGGGTCTTTCCCAGCCCTACCTGGAACTGGGGGAGAATGAAACTACAAAGCAGATGCTCTACCACAAGTGCTACATACAACTCTTCCCCAAACAAAAATTAGGGGGGAAACAGCACAAAACAAGAACAGCCCCGCTGGTTCAGCCAGAAGGCCAGACTAGCCCAGCACCCTGTTCCTGCGCACCAGCCAACCTTTGGGGAAAGCTGACAAACAAGACAGGAAGGCAATACTTTCGTGCTGCTGCTTCCCAGGTGCTGTGTCATTCAGAAGCATATTATCTCTGAACTTGGGAATGTGTCCAAGTAGAAGCCATAAGGACCAACAGCCCGCGACAGATCAGTCCTTAGCCGACCTGTGTAACCCCATTTTCAAGCCACCTAAAAGAGACAGTCCAGTGGCAGGGAATTCCACAGATTTCACTACAGGGAAGGAGAGGAAAGAGCTGGGGGTGGGGTGGGGGATCCTACCTCTTCCTTTACTGGATTAAAGAGAGAGAGAAAGTGGGACAGGGGAAAGCAGGATTTTTCACTTCAGAGAAAGGAGAGGGCATTTAACCCACCGACCGAGAGGAGAGGAGGGTGGTGGTCGGGAAGCTGAGCCGGGGGAGAAATAGCGTCGCTCCTCCCGCCCACGCAGGCTCCGCGGCCAAGAAGGAAGTACAGCAGGAGGATTTTTAAACACACACACAAACATACAGACGCCAACCCCGGTTGCTCCCTGACCCCCTGGAAGTGAGTGGGTGCGGCGGGACAGCAGCAGACTGCCCTCGCCCCCGACCACACACGCAGCGGACCGGGCGCGTGTGCGTGTGCAGCCCCTTTTGCAACGCTACTTAAAGGGAGAAATAAAAGTGCACTTGGGCACCGCTAAGGACGGGTCTGCTTCCCTTCTGCCCACCGGGAAGCCGCCGCACCGAAAAGGGAGAGACGGGGTCCTGGCTGGCTGGTGGGGCGCTTTGACAGGGAGCTGCTGGGAGAGGCGCCAGCGTCCCCGTCGAAGCCGTTCCCACCCGCCTCTTCGGGGCTCGCGCTCCTGCCATGCCCAGCCCGGCCGGAGAAGCCCAAGTTTTGCGGAAGGAGGGAGGGAGGGAGGGAGGGTGGGAGTACCTGTGTGCCGGACCCTCGCGCGACCGCAGCCCCTCTCCGCCAAAGATGGTGGCAAGCGCCGCCCGCTCCGCTCCCACAGCTGACTCGGCTCAAGAGCCCGCTCGCCTGGGCCGGAGTGAGTCGACCGCCGAAAGGAGACACCCCTTCATCGATGCGCTCGGGGTTCCGCTCGCCGGCCTAAACCCTCTGCCGCCGCCTCTCTATCTCGCTCTCGCTCGCTCGCTTCCTCCCGCCTCTCCCCCGACCCATCTGCATCACGCCCGCGGAGAGTAATAATAGGACAGTAGTATTAAGAGAGCTTGAGGAAGGCGGGTGGGAAATGGGAGAGAAGAAAAGGGGGAGGGGGGAAGTAGCAAAGGAAATGTGGTTTCTGCCTTTGGAGCAAATTCTAAACTTAGCTGCAGGGGTTATGATTGACTTCGATTTGATGGGAGGTGGGGTGAGTTTAAGGCTGCAGCTTTAAGGAGTCAGATCTCCCTAAATTTAGTAAGTGGCGCTATGATATAGCTAATATTTGTATGGGGTGTTAGGGGAGGGTGGTACCTCTGGTGAGGGACACGTCCTGCTCCTTCTGGGGTAGGATCTTTGGTTCCCACCCTGCACTCAGCTCTCACCCTCGGCTCCCAGTTACAGGTAGGAAGCAGTGTTGGTCTGCTGTAATCGAAACAAAATAATATAAATAAAATAAAATAATAAAAAGTGTGCATGCACACGAAAGCTCATACCAATAACTAACTTAGTTGATCTCTAAGGTGCTAAGGGACGCGGGTGGCTCTGTGAGTTAAACCATAAAGCCTATGTGACGGGGTGAGCTCCAGTTGCTCGGTCCCTGCTCCTGCCAACCTAGCAGTTCAAAAACACGTCAAAGTGCAAGTAGATAAATAGGTACCGCTCCAGCGGGAAGGTAAACGATGTTTCCGTGTGCTGCTCTGGTTCGCCAGAAGTGGCTTAGTCATGCTGGCCACATGACCCGGAAGCTGTACACTGGGTCCCTCAGCCAATAAAGCGAGATGAGTGCCGCAACCCCAGAGTCGTCCACAACTGGACCTGATGGTCAGGGGTCCCTTTACCTTTTAAGGTGCTACTGGAAGAAATTTTATTATTATTATTATTTTGTTTCGACCTCAGCTTCCAGAAGTTGTCAGCATGTGACAGTGGCCACATCCCATGAACAGCTTTGCCTGGCCTTCTGAACCAGGTAAGGGTAGCTGAGGGGTTTCAAACCCTCTGTGAGTTGGAGCCTTCCCCTGCATGTAAAGACAGGCTCTGGCAGATTGAGCGGATGAGACCAATAGTGTGTCCAAAGGTCAAGAAAGTGGTTTCTGCATGTGCTGTAGATGGAAGTGAGGGGCAGATGGGAGCCCCATGTCAGAGAATGGAAACTCTGATCCTAAGCCTCTGCTGCCTTGCGGCTGTACTCATTAATGAGAAAGGCTTTGGGAGTAACCCCAGGGAAAACCCGTACCCACTGCCTTGTGGGACATCTTTGGGAGAAGAAAAGGCTAAGGAGTAAACCCTACAGAAATCCAGAGTGGAGTCCCTAATATAGTTGGATGGTGCCTTGTATGCCTCCTTCCGGCAACTCCTGCAGCCCAGCTGATGCCAAATGTAATGCTGCTTTGGACTACATCAGCAAGGCCGAGAGTGGGGTCTTGTTGTCTGGGCAGCCCAGGATCTCCATAGCACCACTGCTTAAGCTTGTGCTCTGAGGAGGTAACCTCCATGCTGCTAACACGGCGGTTTGACTTCACCCCAGGAGGAGCACTCCACTGTCTCTTGAAACAGCCAGATGCCAACAACAACATTTTGCTTAATAAGGAAGATGTGACATAGTGTAAAATGACAGGTTATACTGGTTTTCCTGTTTGGGAGATCAGCTGATAAGAGGTGTCATTAAGAAACAAAGAGAGCAGAGTATTGGGCCATAAAGAAAGATTAATAATGCAAATATTGCCCTTCCTCTGCCACTCAGTAGTGGACATGGACAGAAGCATTGGGAGGGTGAGGTTGTCATGGTTACAGGGGCCATGATGCCACTACAGGAAAAAGTACCCATTTGCAGTGTGTGTGTGTTTTTAAAATGGAGGCTGCCAGGAAGACCATGAGTGATGGTGTAAATAGAAAGGGAAGCTGCATCTGGCAAGGGGTTCTGAGAACAAGAAGTAGGGAGTGGACAGAACTCAATGCAGGCTGGTAGGGAGAGTCTGTACCCAGACACTGGGTGTGGTGTAGTGGTTAAGAGCAATAGACTCGTAATCTGGTGAACCGGGTTCGCATCTCTGCTCCTCCACATGCAGCTTCTGGGTGACCTTGGGCTAGTCACACTTTTTTGAAGTCTCTCAGCCCCACTCACCTCACAGAGTGTTTGTTGTGGGGGAGGAAGGGAAAGGAGAATGTTAGCCGCTTTGAGACTCCTCTGGGTAGTGATAAAGCGGGATATCAAATCCAAACTCTTCTTTGGACCCAAGCTTGCTGAAGCTATGGGAAAAGCAACAAGAGACACTCTTGGGGTGTCATACTATGCACCCCTTCAGCCAAGATCCTGGTTGACACTACAGTCACTGTTGTGCCTTATTTTTTTCCAAAGGAAACACAAACCCTGGTTAAGTTCCAAAACACTTGGAATCTCACGCCGCTCAACAGAGATTGGAGTGGCCAGTAACAATATGTTTTGAATAACAATTTCAGTTGAACCGTAGGATTTCTGAGTTAGAAAGAACTCTAATTTGAGGAGGACAACCTCTTGTCAGTAGCCCATTCCCCTGGACGCAATATCACAGAAACAGTCTGACAAGCACAGAACAGGGTGGAACTATCACTGCTTGTGATCTGGACACCTCCTTACCTCACCTGGGCTGCAAATCCCTCTGTATGTCATTTGTTCTACTTTTCCAAAGTTGCACAATTCTCCTTATGAGTAAAGACTATGGCAGAATAGTAGCTGAGTGGTTCCTCCTGCTCTCCGTCACTTGTTAATACTTCCCCATCTTCCCCAAAGAGGGGACCTACATTTTGTTCCGGACATAATTAAAGAAGGTTTTTAAATTGTTTTTCATTTTCCTTGCAAGTCATAGGTCATTATGGGATTTAGTCTTCTTGACACTGTCATTACAGGTTCAGAATACTTTTAAATTCATCCTTGGTTATGTCCCTTCTTTCATCTCGTATACATTTCCTTTTTTGACTGAGTGGTACTGAATTGTGCATACACATCATAGGATCAGACTGCAAATAATATGTTTTCTATTTAGTTATCTAATTATTTGGTACATTTATATACCACCTTTTTCTTCCTAGGAGCTCAAGGTGGAATACATGATCCCACTCTTCCTTAAATGCTCTTTCTTCCTGATCTCTTATTTTACTGGTTAAACTTGCCATTTCTGCATATTCCATCAATTTTGTCTGCCATTCCTCCTTCATTGGTACTGTTCATTCCCTCCATTTCTGGGCATATGCCATTCGAGCTGCTGTGGTAGCATAAAGAAACAGATTAAAATTAGATTTTAATTACATTTGTTTTACTTTTAAAAGGCTAAGTTGAGTCATTGAACAATTGCATATACAAGCAACCAAGGTTGGATAACAAGTAAAGAGCAAAGTTAAACACAGAGCATAAAGTCTATGACTCACAGTCCCCTGATCCTTTTCACTAGTTACCCATCTTCCTCAAACTTCTACCAGCTGATGCTCTGAAATTGGAAACGTATGTCATTCTTAGGCTACAATCCTAAATACATTTTATAGGGAGGAAGTTCTGTTGAGTTCAGTGACACTTGCATCTGAGTAAACATGCTTAGGATTGCACTGTTATACTCAAAAAGAGAGGAAACTAGAGGGTTGTATTCAAGTAGGTTATAACTCAGAATAGACACATTGAAATCAATTGACTTGCTGTTTACATTAATTGATCTCGATGAACATACATACTCCACCTCCCTATTGTCCTCATGTGTTCAAATTAATTCATTCCTTTTACTTTTCCCCTCTGCATACATACGGGGAATCTATTGTTTGGGCTTCCTCTCCAAACCAGGATTGCAAACCAAGGTTTGAAGCTGGTTTGCACAATTCAAGTTTGAACCAGGAAGCTTAAACTATAAACTGGCAATTTCCATGTAAAAGGGAAAATCATTTGCTGCAAACCAGGGAGTTTCTATTTGGCAGAGTGAGTGTTCAAAGTCCAAGGCTGCGTCATGTAACACCCATAGTTTGGCACTTTTGTTAACTAACCCTGTCCTCATTCCTCCCTCAGTTCTGGCTCAAGAAACTACACTACTGTGTAGCAACCAACCCTGCTTTTAACAAGTTTAGGATCTGACTGCTGCAGTAAAATGCATATCATTGTTCTATTCGGTCTGGAAAAAAAGACATAAAGATTTGGAGGGATGAGGCTGGGAGGCATGCAGACTTCCAATTTAGATGAAGAAGCCAACATTTGCTTCTCTCAGATTTTCCAGATGTTGATCTTGGAGAGATTCTCTTAGTCACCCAACTGCAAGCAGCAGGAATGCTGGCTGGCTGAGATTTGGCTGAACAGAGTTTCTGCCTTAGATAAATGCAAACAGTAGAAATAGTTTAGCTATTGTGCCAGACTTTCATCCTTTCCAGAATGAAGCATTTAAGATGTGGTTCTTAAGGCATCTGGAGGAAATGGGGTCAATGTGTTAATAAGTCTGATAGTTTTAAAAGAGCTATTGTGAAGCAAAGGGATATCACAGGATTCCGAACTACATTTTTATCTCCTTTTTTACCTTTCTTCTTTTTTGCACATCGCAATCTCACAAGATGAACTTATGTCAAATCTGCAGCCAAATACATTTTCGATCATTCCTTTCTTCTAATTTACTGAAAAGGTAAAACATAATGCAGATGTCCTTGATATATGTATCTATCAGTTTAAAAAGTATGTTATTTCCTTATTATTTGAGCTGCATAGGATAACCTATCACTCATTTCTATAGGTAGAATGAATTGTCTCAATCACAACGCCTCCAGAAGGAGCGAGAATAGTTTCCACAAATATGGGAATATTTATTTTTATATACTGTTTCTCTACAGATCCTTTCAATCGAACGCTGTAGAATTTTTATTGGAATAATGGCTCACTTAACACGAGGTAAGTGGAACCTGATTGTGTGTTTTCTGGAGGAGAAATGGGCACCCTTATTGAGATCTTTGCTTATTTGTGCTGCTTACCCAATGATTTCAAAGTGATTACTCAAACATGTTTTTGAAAGTTACAATTCATTTTTAGTGAGAACCCCCCTCACCCAAATGTATTACTTCAAAAAGTTTATGTATTCCAAAACCTATGAAGATGAAAAGATGAGAAACAAATATGAATTAAGATCCCATAAATGACAGGAAGGATGCCAGCCCATTGTTATGGAAACTAACTGAGAAAATACTAATATACATGTACAGTGGTACCTCGGGTTACAGACGCTTCAGGTTACAGACTCTGCTAACCCAGAAATAGTACCTCGGGTTAAGAACTTTGCTTCAGGATGAGAACAGAAATCGTGCACCGGCAGCACAGCGACAGCAGGAGGCCCCATTAGCTAAGGTGGTTCTTCAGGTTAAGAACAGTTTCAGGTTAAGAATGGACCTCCAGAACGAATTAAGTTCTTAACCCGAGCTACCACTGTATTATTGTGAAGTGTGCTTCCAGTTTTAATCTAGATAAAAACTTTGTCCCAAATATCAAAAGTTTTAAAAATGCTGGCATTGGCATAGGATCTTGCTACAGATTCAGAATGCTTCTTTCTGGCCTTGAAAAAAATCAGTTAAAAAACCCCCAATAAAGAGCAGCGTTTAGCTATTTTTATCTTTTTAAAAAAACACAAAACCAAGAACTAGCTCTCAGAAAGGGCAGATGTGGTTTTCCTGCTATAGATCAAAGGCCAGCAATTGAAATGCCAGCACTTGACAAAGGAAGGCCATCCTTATCGTTTAACATGGAAAGAGTAAAAGTATAAACGGAAATGCTAGGCAATAACCATCCTTCCTCCAAACAACAATTGAGCCTTTATCAATTGCTTGTTCAAAATCCATTTTCCCCTAGCAGCAGACCCCCAGATTACATTTTGAAGACCATGCTGTAGTTATTGCTCAGTATTTTATAACAACAGAACTAGTGTAGCGCAGCAGTTACAGTATTGGGACTGGGACCACAAGATCCACGTCCAAATTTCCACTCTGCCGTGATGCTCATTGGATGACCCAGTCATACAGTGGTACCTCGGGTTAAGTACTTAATTTGTTCCGGAGGTCCATTCTTAACCTGAAACTCTTCTTAACCTGAAGCACCACTTTAGCTAATGGGGCTTCCCGCTGCCGCCGCGCCGCGGCTGTGCAATTTCTGTTCTCATCCTGAAGCAAAGTTCTTAACTCAAGGTACTATTTCTTGGTTAGCGGAGTCCGTAACCTGAAGCATATGTAACCTGAAGTGTATGTAACCCGAGGTACCACTGTATTTCCACTGGGATTTGAGATGATAATATGGGTGGGAGGACTATTGTGTATTCCTCCTTAAAGAAAGGGTAGGGTTAAAATGTAGAAAGTTAATAGCAAACAGGTATTAAGGACATTTTCAACTTGATTTTTTGGGAGATTGTGATTGGCCCAAGATCACCCAGTGATCTTTGTTGATACATGGGAATTTGAATCTTGGGTCTCCAAGGTTCTACACCTACAGCCTAACTACTACAACATCCTGGTTTTTAGGATAAGACACATTTGAACTATGGATGCTGGTAAATCCAAACAAAACTATAAATACCACAGCAGCTGGTTTGCCTACTGTCTACAAAAAAAGTTTTGGGTGATTCCCTCTCTCCTCACTCTTGAACAGTGGGCAGAACTAAAGTTTTGGCTAGGTAGCCAAAATCCTTTGAGTAAATGTCAACAGAAGTGTTTTTATTTAGTGTGCATGCTTGAATTCTGCAACTCGTACACATGCACTAAGGATACTGATATCAACCACAATCTGCTGGTACGAGACATCACAAAGTGTGTGTGTCTTCTCTGGAAAGCCATCCACAATCCACTGAGGCAGTGAGTGATGACGGAACAACGTGACAGTGCATTTGGCTGTGGAAGACATAAAATCTGTAACCCACTTCTCTATACTTTAAATTAGAATGCAAGCACAGGCTCAGCTGACCATATTTGCCAGCTTGGGCTGTATGCTGCCATGGGACTCTGTGTCTGGACCTGATCCTTGCCATGCTAAGATACCAGAAACATCTGGGGACCACATACCAGTGGTGGGTGAGGCCTAATGAAAAAGTCGTCAGAACAATGAACGTGATGTCACACAGGAGGCTACAGTCCAGCCACACAAAACCCAGAGCTTTCTATATACACATACACATCGTTCCATCCTCCATCCAGGCAAGCAAGTCATTTTCACAGTTCAAGGACACATTTCATCCAGGCAAAAGCTGGTGCCAAATGTATTTCTTTGCTTTCCTTTGGACCACATCAGCGAGGCTGAAAAGGGGGTCTTGTTCTCTACACGTAGCACAGGCTTGCGCCCCAGAGAGGTCACTTTGGTGCTGCTAATATAGCAACAACAATGTGGAAGGCAGCAGTTACGAGTTACATGTCTCCACAGTCGCGCTGTGATTCTCCAGTGTTTTGACTTCACCCCCGGAGGTGCACTCCATTGTCTCTTGAGACAGACAGATGCCAACAGCAATGGAAGGGAAGAAGGGAGTAGGATACAGTAGTCCACTTGCTCTTAGGCCTAGTTCTAATTGGGAGGGGAGGGGAAACCTGTTTCTGGACTGTACCATTTTAGAATGCAGGTGGGAGTTCACACGGTTGATTGTTCTTAGCAATACAAAAACAAAAGACAAAAAACCTCCACCTAGAAAATGTGCATGTTCAGGATGCTGTACTACAACCATTTCCCCTAACATCTTGTTTTCTTTGAGCATGGTGGCAATTTTTTTCCTATTGAAAACTGTTCATCCATATGAGTCCCTGCACGTAGTTTTCAGTAGTACAGCCTGGACATAGGTGTATCACCTCAGTGAAAACAGCCTAAGTTTTAGACCTCATGAGATTCCTCTCCATAATAATTCATAGTTTCTGACAACTCATTGGCTCTGGAAAAAAGGTATCATATACAAAATTTGGTATACAGGTATCATATACAAAATTTAAAATCAACAGCTGTTGTTAATAACACTACTTATTTTCAACTTAAGCTGAATATATCCAAGAGCACCTTTTAAAACATTTATATCGCTCAGTAAAATCTATTTTCTTTCCCTGCTTCCTCCCAAATTTGAATTGACACCCTAGTTTAAATCATGATTTTTCAGTGCCAAGCCATCAGCAGTTTTTTCCTGGGAAATTACCACAATGAAAAGAGCTGATTTTCTGCCCAAAACTAAACCATAAACATATGTTTCTAGCCGGTGTCTGCTCCCAGTGTGGGGAAAGTGGGGCCAACTTGACTATGTGCTAACAAATGTGAGGCAATGAAAGGCCTGTGCTTCCCTGCTGCTGTGAGGGAGAGAAAGCAGCAAAACACTCTTCTACCCAGCAAGGAAGGTGCATTTGCTTTGAGCAATCGCAGGGTGGCAGTACAGAAGTAAAATCACTCCATTTGCAAATTTGAATAACTACTAACACACCCCAGTTGGATTGAAATGATTTACAGCATTTGTTCACGTGGGTGAATTTCATACTTTCCCAGAAGCTTATCTTTAACTTTCCATGAATGATTTACTACATTTTATTAGATAGCCTAAACTGCATGCGCTTAAACACACGCTAAGCCTAAGGAAAGCAAAATAACTATGTGCAGCACTTTGAACATGAACACTGCTAGTGAGTTTCTGGCGCTGCAATCCTGTAGCTCAGGGGCAGCTAACCCCCCAGCTTAGGGGCCTGATTACTCACGCATTTTGAATGCATGCAAAAATATGCATGAGGGACTTTAGGGTAGCTACACCCATTTTTAGCTACACTGGCCACTGGCATGCACACCTGGGAGGGCTGGCTAAGGCTAAATGCCACCCTTGGGTCAAAAAAAGGTTGCTCACCCCTGCCGCAACTACTTGCCTATGAGTAAGTCTAACTGAATGCAGTGGAGCTTACTTCTGAGTAGGCATGTGTAGGATTGTGCTTTAAGGCTCTCTTGTCATCACTCATTAACTGTTCTGTGGAGAAAATTATTCCAGGCTGATGAGACAAATTACAGAGTTGTTCAGAGTAGTCCTTTTAAATCACTCCCACTAGCAGAGTGGGGGGAAACAAGTCGGAGTTGTTCTTACAACAAAAAACCCACAAACTTTCATCAGTACAAATACATTTCTTTTTATTCCTACCCCTGCTATAACTACAATTCTGTGTACTTGCCTGTACATAATTTCCATTCAAGAATAACAAATTTATTTAGGCATGCCTGAATGTCAGATTGCAGCCTGTAATCATTAAGCCTGCTAACTGACAGGTAAAAAGTAATTTTTAACCTTGCCACAACCCTGTGAGGTAAGCAAGTTTAATTACTACAGGCTGCAACCTGGCACACAAATGTAGCAAAGAAAGGAACAGTCAATTGTAGCAATGCCAAGCAGGCTCACAACAACTTTCTGTGTCACTAGTGGCGACAGAGGCGAAAGCGTAATGGCATAAATCAAGGCCAGTAAAGAGTATTATAATGCACTGTACGTAGGGATGCCTTTGAGAAGTTTTCGAGAATTATGGCTGGTGCAAAACATGGCGGCCAAATTGTTAGCTGAAACTGATGGCCAAGAATATCATAGAGGGGTTAAAAGAACCTAGCTAGATACTAGTTTGTTCTGAGCTCAGCCTTTAAAACCCCAAACGGCCTGAAACCTTCTAAATCAATACAGTGCTAATATATATGGTAACAATCAGCCATAGAGCAATAAAACAGTAGATTTAAATAGCATTTTTAAAAAATTAAATATTTAAAGAGCTCTTTGCCTAGGGAAATAAAAGAGTGTTTTCCTGGTGCCAAAATAACCCCAGAGTAGGGGAGAGCATTCCACAGCTGGAGTGCAATGACTGAAAGGATCCTCTTCCTAGGAACCACCTACCACACCTTCCTTGTCAGGGGCATTCAGAGAAGTTTTAAAGGCTTTTAATTATATTTTCTACTTTTTAGGGCAGAATCTTTTACTTTTGGGCCATTGGCTGAATGGCTAGAGCAGGGTTAGCCAACGGAGTGCACTTTAGACATTGCTAGTCTATAGTTTCCACCATCTCTGGGCATTGACCATGCTGGATGGGACTGATGGGAGTTGGAGTCTAATAACTACTTGAGGACATTGTAGTAGCTACCCTTGGGCTAAACACCACCGCAATGAGAGATATGCCATCAGAAGACAGGAGAGGAGAGCACTTACATGATTACCTATAGCCCTTCCATCAATGGCCACCACCACTCTTTGATGGCATAATGTTACACCAGCCCAATACCTGGGGCAAATCATTTGCCTCTTCTTGTCAGAACATAGTACATGGTGTCACACAACACCCAATCATAGCTCAGCATTCCAAGTACGTAAATTCCACACAGGGAGAAGATAACTCAGATGATAGGCCATGTGGTTGTACAAACCTGCTGCTCACAAGGGGGACCTTTGGAGATGGAAAACATGGAGAAGGAACACTCTGCACACAAATGAAGGACTTTGCACAAAGCAGCTTGGCTTCACAATACATTGGGGAATTAGTGAGTAGTGCTAATGTGTTCTCCTAGAACCCTGGTGAATACCGTATTTTTTGCACCATAACACTCACTTTTTTCCTCCTAGAAAGTAAGGGGAAATGTCTGTGCGTGTTATGCAGGGAATGCCTACGGGTGGCATTCCTACGGATTTTCCTCCTCTAAAAACTACGTGCGTGTTATGGTCGGGTGTTATAGAGCGAAAAATATGGTACCTTGCTTTGAGACATCAGAAACAAACACTGAACCCCACACCACTTCCAACAACTGTAGGGAGTGGGTAGCTGTAGTCAGTAGAGAACACCTCACACAAATAATAAAGGGAATATAGAACACACACTATAATGTATAACAGTTGCAACTGTCTCTGTTCACCTTCCCAGGCTTATTCCCTTGGAAGTGCATTTAGCATTGCAGCCTAATTGTGCAATGCTCTTATCATACGCAGTAGAAGTATTTGCTGTGGTTCCTTGGTCAAATAAAGCCATCAAAAGAAAGTAAGATACATGCTATGGGAAAATTGAAGGCAGGGCATAAGGAACACCTACTTTCTTCCACAGTGTTTAATAAAAGACTGCAGTTGTTGCTTCTGAAGCATTTATAGAAGTTGGTTGGTTTGTAATACACTCCGGTAATTACACAACCAAAGTGTTTGTACTTACTTCATTGTGCATTTTCACTTTTGCTCCTAAACTCGTCACATCTTGCTATTCTTTTCCTTTGGCTTGGAGTTGTTTCACATTACAGAATTAGAGGCTAGATTGTGTTTGCCTCAAAGACGTGAGGTGAGTAAACAACATGCCATAAATTGTTATGTACACTGGCCAGAATCCAAATAACCATGAAACTAGTTCCATAAGCCCTTGTGCACTTTAGACTTACTGTTCTTGAACAGAAGATACCAGGGCCATATAGGAAGTGCTCTTGAAATGGACAAGCATAAAGAAAGGATTTGTGATAATAGTATCATAGAATTGTTAAGGTGGAAGGGACCACGAGGGTCATGTAGTAGTCCAACCCCTGCAGCGCAGGAAACTTTTGCCCAACATGAGGCTCAAAACCACAGCCCTGAAATTAGGTGTCTCATGCTCAAGACAGGCATACAAATAAGTAAGTACCCATTTTAGAAGCTGAGGATACTGTGAAGCTGTAGGGACATAAGAAGAGCCCAGCTGAATCAGGCCAAAGGCCTGTCAAGTCCCGCATTCATTTCTCCCAGTGGCTGATCAGATGCCTGTGGGAATTCAAGAAGTGGAACCTGAATACAAATGCCCTTCTCCCACTTGTGATTCCCTGCAACTGGTATTCAGAGGCATATTGCCTCTTATGGTGGGTGTAGAACATAGCCATCATGGCAAGTAGCTATTAGTCTCAGTCTCCAGGTAATAATGGATGAAATGATTTGTAAAAATTCATATATTTCTGATAAGTGTGTATCAAGAGTTTATGACTTCAAATGAAGTGGAGAAAGGAGAAATATAATTTGATATAGATCATTTGCTGTCAGTTGAGAAACCAGTTCTTAATAACATTAGAGAGGAACATCTCTCCCCACCTTGACCCTCAGGAGCACTTACACTAATGCAGTTTATGGAAAACATCCAATAGGTTTCCTTTGTTGGATTATTTTGAAACATTTACAGGACAGGGTGGGGCGAGAGAGAATGATTGCATTTTATGAAGAGTCATGCAAATGTAGGAAGCGATTTTAACATGTCCTTGCTGTCAGTTTTATAGGAAAGTTTATCTAAAAAATGAAATTACAAAATATCCACTGATGTGGATTCTATATTTTACTAAATTTCATTTGCTCTGTCTGAAGGGAAAACAAGTGTTTTATCATTACATTGTGCAATGATATTTTTCATTAAAATAAATAATTTTATAATAAGGTGGTCTGGTGGGAATAAAATTATATATTGAACTATTAAAAGATGGGTTTTTAAAACAAAAACCTAGACACTGTGAAGCTGTGCATACATTCATATGTGCAAATAATTTTGAGAGCCTACCTTACTATCAGACATCTCCTGGTGGCTATCTTCATCACCATTTGTAGAGTATAGCAATTTTTCTGCAGCAGGACATGCAAACAATTTTCTCAGTGCCATCTTGGTTCACATATGTTTGCTATTCAAGAACAGCAGAATAATGAAAGCATACTTGCAAAGAAAGCGAAGAATGGCGGGGCAGTAAGCAAGGATCCTCAAAGGGAGATGCAGAAAGAGCCACATAGTTGGCGTGAGATACATTTGGCCGAGCAGCAATAGATGTCTGATGACTGGACACAAAGTTCATGGCAATCTTGTAGGTCAGATACCGGTGATAAGTTGGGAATGGCTAGGAGTGTGAAACAGGATTATTTGAAATTAAAAAAGTAATGAAATAATGTCATTCTTCAGAGTTGGTCTTTCCCCCAAAATCCCAAGATATTTTGACAAGCCCAGCTGTTTCAGTGTTATGTACTGAAGTTCTCACCCTGGGCCAGCAGGGGGATACTGTAGATAGCTTTCACTCAGGTCCACATATGCAAATAAGGGATTGAAAGTGATGTTCAGTGATTGGATAGTTACAGAAAGTGGTTACTGTTGCGTTCTAGCAGAGCTCTATATAAGCAGGCTGGCTGAACCCTTCAGTTCAGTTCTGTTCTGGCCTGTGAATAAACAAGAGCTGTTTGAAGAATCGCTGTGTCGTCTGATATGTTCACCCACAACTTAACATTCAGGTTCTAGGGTAAAAAAGCACAATCCTATCCTTGAGTTACATGTGCTAGGTTGGAAAGGGTCAGTCCAAAAACTCTTCCGCCAGCATAGCAGGACCATAAGACGTTGGATGGTTAAATGGGGGTGGAAATTACATTTCATCTTTGGGCCTTTTCATACCTTCATATGGAAGCAATCAAAACTGTAGTATAATTTTAATTCCATTTTCTGTACCTTTTGAGAGATTTAGAAAAGTATACAACAGAGAACTACATTAATTGAAGCATCTCTCACAGCTTTTTAAGACCAAACGTTATCCCATAAAACAACCTTTCCCATAATAGTCTCCTGGAAAAGGAAAGTTTTCCAAAACATTTGAAATATTTGCATGAAGTCAGGCAGCTTTCATGTGGTTGGGTTGGGAAACAGGACTATGAAAGTCCTGCCTGTACTCTTACAGGGTAGATGAAAACCAGAGTAAGGCCTCATATGTCTGAAACAGCATCTCATTTTGGGCAAACTTTGGGCAAAGTAAAAAAAGCTGAACAACTTTTGTGTCCAGATTTTCATTTTTTGAAATATGGCAACCCTACTTTGCACACCTGGATACCCATTTTTAGTTTGATGTAAACCCTAGGTATAGCTTCCTTTCTAAACAAGTACCGGTATTCTTATAGGGTTCCAGTCTTATGGAACTGACTGGTAATAATACACATATAGTTGTTAGACAACAGATTATCAAACAATAGCCACAGTGGAGCTGTCTATTTTCAGTCATGGAAGTCTCCTCAAATAAAGGGCACTTCTTCAATGTACAACTCCTGAAAACATGCATATACAAGCTAAATTTATAAATATACAGAAGCCACTGGGGGAAGTTATCCAGAGGTTTGGATAAAGGAATTACATCAACACTCAATGACACATTTCTCTTCTTGTTTCCATCTTTTATTTTGGAATCTGGTTCTGCTTGCACACTTTCCATAGGCATCTAGTTGGCCACTGTGAGAACAAGATGCTAGATGGGCCTTTGTTCTGATCCAGCAGCTCTCTTCTTACATATCTTATTATGTATGAGTCCTAGAGAGCATGTCTGGGCAATTTTAGGGTGGATGGGAGCAAACAAACAGAGATTTAATCCATGTAAGAGATGGCAGCACTGTGGGTGGGAAAATCTGAACAGCCAGGCGGTATGTACTCGAGGCGGTTATACTTCCCCTGAAATATCAAGTCAGTAGCTTGGGAGTCCTGCATTCAGTGCTGCTGATGGAGGTGCAGGTGGCACTGGATATGAGTAGCGGTTTTATCAGATTTGGCTGATTCACCAGCTATGACGCTATCTAGCCAAAGAGGACTTTGCCTCAGTAATTCATGTCCTGGTTACATCTAGATTAGTCTACTTGCAATCACTAGAGTGGGACTGCCTTTAAAGGCAGCTTGGAAGCTAGAAGTACTGTAGAATGTAGCTTCCTGGCTGCTAGAGGTGGCCAAGCAGATAACACATTTTACACACAGCCTGTTAGCTATATTGGCTGCTGATGCATCTGGGGCCACTTTAAAGTGCTAGTGGTTACGTCTAAAGCCCTGAATTGTTTGAGATGAAATTATCTGAAGGATTGCTTGCACTCATTTGAACTTGCCCAGACCTAACATCAGCCGCAGAGGTCCTGCTCACAGCTCCACCATCCAAGCTGTTTAGATTGGCAGGCCAAGAGTTGAGGCCTTTAACAGCTATCACATTATTTTATGAGGTGGATAAAAAATACATTATATTTGCAATATAACAGATAGTTTTGTGGTGCCTGTATTCTTTTCATATGTACAGGCATGATATTTGGGAAGGGATGTAATTATTATTATTTATTTTATTTATTTATGAATACCCAGTCTTTTTCTCAGAACTGGGGTAATGTTTGTCTGTTTCCCTCATTCAAGCGGTCCCCCCCCCCCCCCCGCTCCCGTCCCCAGTAACCAGGAGATACAAGATTGGCAGCTTGCTCCTTGACAGAGCTTCTGTGCTTGGCTAGTTGTCAAAAAATCTATCTGGCGAAGCGTTTCCCCTGTCAGTTCTCCCCTATGCTGTGAAAACGCTCAGCTGTTGCATTTCTGTCTGCCGCGCGGTTTGCAGAACCCGAGCCCTGCCAGAACTTCTTAAAAGAAATCGCTAGGGCCGCCGGAGCGGGAACCTACGGCCCTCCAACAGGATCTTCTGGACTGCAATTCCCATGATCCTCGGCTGCTGGCCGCACTGGCTGGGCATGATGGGAAGCGCAGTCCAGCAAAAGAAAACAAAATCTGGAGGGACACGTTCCCGTGCCGCTGTCAACCGGGTCGGGACTTAAAAGAGAGGATCCTACGGAGGCGAGGAGGCGTGATAAAAGCAGCAATGCCACTCTTTTGGGAGCGAGCATTAAGATCACGAGGACGCGGGGGAGGGGGTGTGAGAAAGCGATCTGTGCTCTCTTGACGCTGTAAATCACTTGGAGAGGAGCCTTTCTTATAAAAGAGAGCGCGCAAGCAAGCAAGCAAGCCAGCGCAGGCGAGGAGAAATATATATATATATTTCGGCAGCCCGCCCGCTCCACTTCTTCGCACCCACTCGCTTCCTGAACAGCGTACGTCACCGAAAGCTTCGGTTTGACGCGCCCGCCCTCCCCTTCCTCCTGGGCGTCCCTTCCTTCCCTCGTCGGCTTTGGGTGCCGAGAGGGAGGGACGGAAGAGGCGGCCATCTTGGGCTCCGCTCGCTCGCTCTCTCGCTCGCCGGCGCTGTGCGCGTGTGTGTGAGAGGTGGGGGCGGGGGGGCGGGAGCGAGGCAGCGTCTGGGGCAGGGAGGGGCTGGCTGGCCGGGCTCCCTTTTGCGGAAGTGGGTGGCTTCGCTCCCCCAGAGTGGAAGGAAGGAGAGAGCGCGAGCCCAGCGGGGTCCTCCGCACCTTTCCCCCAGCGCCGTCTCGACCCGAAGGAGGATGGCAGGGCGGCTCCCGGCCTGCGTGGTGGACTGTGGCACAGGGTGAGCGGCGGCGAGGAGAGATTGAATGGGCTACTTGCTACTGCTCTTATTCTTATTTTTTTTTTGGCATTTCTTTGCATTTCTTCTTTCTGTTGCTGCTTTTTCTGCTGCTGACAGTGTTGGAGAGGGCGGGGAAGGGAGCCATTGAGCCTTGCGATTCCCTTTCATTCGGGGCTGTGAATGCGGGTGGGAGTGGTAGCTTGCCTTTTCATTTAAAAAAAAGCAAGGGGGGCGGCGGCGGCGGAAGGGACGTCGGTTCCACCCCCCCACCCCAGCGCCAGGCATCTTTTATCTGTCCTCCTCCCCACGCATGTCTCCCCCTCCTCTCTCCCACCCACCCCCAGCCCTTCCCCTCTTACTGGTGCCTATATTAGCCTTCAACTTGTGAAAAGATTAAGAGGAGAAAGGGTCATGTGCAGGAAGGAATGGGAGTGGGGAAGAGGTGGGGTCCCCCCCCTTCATTTTCCTCTGACTGGCCTTTTCTGAGCAGGTTGCCCAATGGCCCTCCTTCCTGCTTTTTTAAGCATCCAGAACTGTGTGCCTTTGTGGGAGGGAGAGGGGAGTCACACCCTAAACAGCACAGCTTCCCTCACCTTCCCGTTTTTTAAATATGTGGGATTGGCCCTTACTCATTCCTTTAGAGGCGTCGGCCTTCTGTGGAAGTGGGGGTTGCATTGTCTTCATCATAAAGTCGTTCAGGCTGCAATTTGCCAGAGTTGTTTTTTTTAAAAAATATTATTCAATGTGTTGGTTGCAGCAGGGTGACCAAATATATTGGCTCTCTTCTTCCAGACTGGGAACAGGCTAGCTTCTGAAAATGGGCACTTATATATCCTAAGATCAGGATTTTTTAAAATTTTTACCCTCTTTGCTTCAGAGAGAACTCATCCACCGTCAGTTCATTTCAACGGCCTGGTTAGCTCTCTCAGGAAGCAGCGCTGCTTCATTGCTTTCTGAAAGGAAAATGCACTTTCATAGAGCTTAGGCGCAGAGTCAAGATCAGCATAGATCTTGTTTCTTTTATCCTTATTTCTTTTAAATCCAGGCTGGGTGATCTGTAATTGTCTCCAAATCTGAATATGCATTTATACTATGTGGATTATTTAGAGTGGCAGTTTTGCTCAGCAGTGCCATGATTTTTCCATATGTGTCATTTATTCAGCCTTACTTCTCTCTGTGTGGGTGAAAAAAAAAAGAAAAAAGTCCACCCTCTCTTGTGAGCAAGCGCAGAGGAACTTCCTTAGTTTTGTCAAAGGCTCTTCCTTCTTTCAGGCTTTTATACCTTATAAGGCAGTTTTCAGTGTCAAACCTGAACCAAATCTTTTTTAGAAACCGCTTTTCTTATTTAGTAATTGCCGGTTGGTGATAAGAGAGAAAAAAGTAATGCTTAATACTTAATGTGTGCCTGTAGAAAAGAGCTTTATGGGATAGTTGCAGAGATTCTTTCTGCTGCTCTTTCCAGGAGGTGGTGAACAAAACGTTGGAGGTACAACTGCAGGAAGCAAAGGCTTCCTCAAATAGATACTTTGTAGCCTTCATGCCAGTGCCTTAGGGGAACTGGGTTTGAGGGAAGTTCTCTTTTTGACCACCATTTTCAGATAACTGGAATGGGGGCGGGGAACTGAGATACTTTAGTGTGCAGATCATATATGCAGCCTCCAACACAGAAACTGTAACTTAACTGTAGAATCAGTTGTCATTCCACCAACTTTAACTCCTGTTTAAAAAAGATGCCCAGTTACAAATTTCCTTCATTGTTTGGAAAAAAGGATTTTAGAATTTGATCAAATGTGCAGTTACATAATCTTTTAAAATTGTGACCTTGTCTTTCAATTTTAAAAGAGAAAAAGATTGCGGGGGCGGGGCGGAACATTTGATTACGGGTTGTTCATATAAATGGAGCAGAGTATGTAAGATTGACAGCAACACATATCTGACAGTTTTAAAATTAAATATGTTATAAACTCATTGAAATGCATTTTGTACTCATTGCATTTGGGCTGTCACACTTACCTAGAACATATCCTGGTGTTGTGATAAACTTAGAATGCTTCTACAAAATGCAATACTTAAAATGACATGTAGGTTGCAGGTTCTGCTCTGCAAACTGTTTCTGAAGCTTTCATTTTGTACTTGTAGAGGAGACCTCTTTGGGGCCTTGCTGTCAACTATAGGCATTCTTGAGTGTGAGTGTAATAAATGAGGATAACTGCAAGAGGACAAGGGGACTTAAGTCCAGATTCTACAAGGGGCTCTGCAAATGAACACATAACTGCCTCTTTGATTGCAGAGCACATCCTCTTTTAATTTGGTAGCTAGCTATTCCTTCCATTTTTATGTTGTGATGTTTTACCGTGCGCAAACAATTTGTGCCCTCTTCACCCCTCCCACAGGGAGGTAACAAACCATTACTCCAGGTTTGGCATTGTGTCTGAACCAGGGGCTGTGGTTTGTTTTGCTCACAGCACGATGGATAAATCAAGCACAAGCATTAGATTATTGTGACAGGTGTAGAAAGAAACAAACCACAATCCCTGGTTCAAATGTAGCACAGAGCCAGAAATTGTGGTTGGTTTCCGCTTGTACTAGTGGGGAGGAGCTAAGAGTACAATTTCAATCCTATACAGTAAGCCATGGGGGCTTACCATGATGTGCAAATGTGGCCAATACGTTTGCAAAATTCAGACTTCTAGGTGCCACCTTAAGAAATGTGGAAAGCTCTGAAAGTTTAACAGGATTTCCAAGTGTTCTTTAGTTGGTATCACACTCTTTCACTAATGCTGCTTTAATAACAGTACTGAAGAGTAACCTTGCCATGGACAACACAATATTAATTTTTCTTCAAGGCCTTACGTGCCACATGTGAAGATGTGAAAGTCAAGGTGCACCCGATGCATTCTGCTCATCCGTACTGTATTATATATGAGATACCTCACTCTGCATCTGTCTGCACTGTAAACATGGATGGGTTCCAGCCAGTGTGAACAGTTGGAGGCTCGAATGGTGGGAGGAGTGGAGATCTCATTCATTTTGCTTATGTGCAGTGCTTTCATAGAGTCATAGAATTGTAGAGTTGGAAAGTACCCTAGGATAATCTAGTCTAACCCCCCTGCAATGCAGGAATAGTCAGCTGTCCCATATGGGGACATGCAACCTTGGCATTATCAGCACCATGCTGTATCCAACTGAGCTATGCAGGCTGAAATCTAAAAGTTTGCAGAAAACTCCCTATAACATATGAATGGTTCCTGGTCCTGGTTCCAATTGTAAAGTGCTGTGCGCTGACTAGTACAGCTGCAGTTAAAGGTGACTCATAGTATCACGGATGTACAGTGCATCAGTGTGATTCCCCCCAAAAACTTTCAGAAGTGCACAGGAGACATACAGAAGTCCAATTATGCACTGGACATTTACTACAGACTTGAAATCTGGTTTCTGTTTATTTGATGCTCCTGGATGTTTGGGGGGGGGACACATTTTCCCTTTACTATTTACTGCAGCAAAAGATGGTGTTCCAAGTTGTAGGCATTGGGATCCTAGTGTCAGCTAAGTAAATGTGTATGCAAGTTCTTAAAAAAACTTGAAGCCTTATTGTGTGACAGAAGTTAGAATCCTGCTGACCTGATGCATGTGATGGGTTATGAATGAAAATTGCTCAGTTCAGATATCACACCAAACAACAATTTGTACTAACTATGGTTTGAGGTTTCAAAGCCATGGTTTAAATTTGCTCGTCTGCTCTTGTTTCTCATTGCTTAGTGTACACAACTCTATGGCATAGCTACAGCTGTAACTAATGTTGGTCAATTCAGATATCACGCCAAATTATATTTAGCATAAACCATGGTTTCTGATTATGGCTTATTGCAAAAACATGACCTGTCAGTTCAGACATCTTGGTAAACCATAACCAATTTTTTTTTTCACTGAAGCATGCATAATTTGGAAAACCATACATCTCTAAGTACAACACAGGTGCTTAGGTAATCGGTTTTGATTTGTGCAATAACATGTATTTGTATGGTCCATCAGGATGTCTTTTGCACACCACATTAGTTCAGCTACTTACTCATAGCATGCTTAGGTCATTGATTATACTGTGTGTTTTTATTCTGATTTTGCCTTTAGTATTTGTATTTGCAAATGGAAGCATCCCACCAGCTATATTGTTAAATGTAGTTAGCATCAAATTGCTATTAAATGTTTCAGATAGCAAGCCTAACCATGTCTACTTAGAAGTAAGTCACATTGAATTCAGTGGGGCATACACTTAGGTAAGTGGGCTTAGGATTGCTGCCTTAGTTACTATGCTGATGTGTTTGGGACTATGGGTTGTTGTTTTTTTTGTAGAAGATTTCAGAAGTTGTAGCTTTTTCAGCAAGCCTTGTTATTCTACTTATTAAAACATTTTATAAATTGAGTTAAATAAGCTGCAGCATAGTCCTGCGCCCTCATACTGATGCATGAGTCCTACTGATCTCAGTATCACTCAAGTGCATGTAAATGAAACAGAATTATGACCTTTATTATTAAACATAACAGAGACCTGTTTTTGCTGCAGAAGAATGGGTTTTGGGTATATGTTTTAACTCTAAAAGGGCTGCTTGTTCTATGCCTCTCCAAAGACCAGTTTCCCATATACAGTAGTAGTGAGTGTTGTGCTCCACCCAGCTTTAAATTTGAATTCATACAACTCAGGATGATACTTTACAGCTAGGAGGATCTTACTTTTTACGAGTGTATGTGAAGTCTCTGAAAGAACAATCCTACATTTTGTCCATGCTTTAGGTTTTTGTAAAGAAGTGTACAGTAAGCTACCATAGGAAAGGTTTTCATTTTTAGGCCTTGCAGTTATATTTCAAGCAGCAATGTAATTATATAGAGTCTATTCCTAACAGGTGATATTGAATTGCTAGATCAGGGCTCAGAGAGAAGGTCAGGTATTGATTTTCAGACAGAAGTTTCCCCATAGTCAATTCTAAACGAGCAGAAGTGTAAACTTCTGTGTTTGAAATTCTGTAGCTTAATTGACACTCAGCCAAGAAGACACTGCTTTATTTTTGTAGTCTCATATACTAAAAAATGCATACAGTATGTAAAACAAATATTAAAATGTTGGACACATTAGACTTCTGTTTATCTCCCTTCCCTTCCCAGAAACTCATAATTTTAGCTCAATTCTTTACTGGAAACTTTAAAAAAAAACCATTCGTATGCATCTCAAGGGTGAACAAACTATTCTCCAAGTCATGTTGAATATTTATATTGAATGGGTTTAACCATTACTTTTGTAGCTACGCTGAAATTTATTCCAATGCTGAATATCATTCTGCTCTGTAGTAAGAGCTGACCATATGCTGAACTCTTTGTTTCTTCATGTTTGTTATGAATAACTGTTCTAGTCTATGCCAGGCTTTTGTTTTTGGGAGTACTCATGGTAGCATAGTTTGACAGAAGGCCTTGGACACTTGTGAGGTGTGTTAGATTATATTGATTTATAAGCTGTCTTCAGTATTTTAAAAAAATGTCTCAAGAGTTCTGTAAATAAAGTAAAAATTAAATTTTCTTGCTTTTGTGTCGATATGGAAAGTGTGTTTGGCTTGCTAAGGGTTTGTTTTTTAAAAACTTACTCTGCCAAGGAATATTTATAGTTTTCTATAAAGTTGTAAGCTGACACAAGTTACTGTAACAGAATAATGGTCTTGGTTTTCTTCTAAAAATACAAATGTTTCAAACTGGTATTTTGAGTATAAAAGAAAAAGTAATCATGTATCACCACCATAGAAGTAAAAAACAATCAATCACCCACTTTAGTTACTGGAATGACTCCAGTTTTAAAGTGCGTTAAAAACAATGTGCTCAAATGGAAAAATAAATTTAGTGGGTATAGTTATTCTATACCTATGGTATATCTGTATATTTACTTGGATGATATGCCCATAAATGACAGTCAATATCTTTTGTGCTGTTCACCTGACAAGGCAGGTTCTCCTTTAGTAGTGTGTGGCGCTGTGGGTTAAACCATAGAGCTTGCCGATCAGAAGGTCGGCAGTTCGAATCCCCGCGATGGGGTGAGCTCCCGTTGTTCGATCCCTGCTCCTGCCAACCTAGCAGTTCGAAAGCATGTCAAAGTACAAGTAGATAAATAGGTACTGCTCCAGCGGGAAGGTAAACGGCGTTTCCGTGCACTGCTCTGGTTCGCCAGAAGCGGCTTAGTCATGCTGGCCACATGACCCGGAAGCTGTACGCCGGCTCCCTTGGCCAATAAAACGAGATGAGCGCCGCAACCCCAGAGTCGGCCACAACTGGACCTAATGGTCAGGGGTACCTTTACCTTTACCTTTTATGTTACCATTTCCTGTCTGGAACTGTTAATTTAATCTCTTGCTTGGTAGTTTCCATTTTGGTATGATTAGTTATACAACATTTAACAAGTACAGATCTCAAGGGATTTTGATTAAGAACTGAAAGTGGGCTTCACACATTACACAGTTGGTGTATGACTCCCATGTTCTCTTTATGCATGACTTGGGTAACATCAAAAACAAAACTCAGCATTGCTTCTGTGGGTTATGACTGAGGTTGATGACTGTCATGTCCGCAGAGAGGAAATACAAGTTGCTTGCACTTCCTCTTGTACATTTCACAGAAATGAGGGCAAAGTTATTCTAAGAGAAATTAACCAATTGTATTCTCAAGTGCATTTTCAATCTATCTGTATGTCTAGTTTTTCCCCCTTTTCAGTTTGCAGTTAACAACTTGACAGCAGGAAGAATAATAATCACTTGTCATTGGAAGAGTTCTGAAATCCTTTCAGTAGGGGTAGGTGATAGGAATGTGTGGGAGGTTGTCGTTATAGTGAAGCTGGCAAGTCATGGGAGCTTCAAGGGGAAGGAGAAATTAATTCAGAGAGATATTGATAACCCATACAGAATTTTGGAACACCAGAGGAACAGTCATGATTAATGAGGATACAGAATTTTCCAAAAGATAAGAAAATAGAATTGAATATCTAACTCCTATATGTAATAGTAAGTAGGAAGGCAATGTGGAAATGAAGGTTGTTGGAGGGTTAGCTGGGATAACAGTGGAATACTGATGATGATAGGGTTACTCAAAGACTTATCAAAATTGTTCTTGTGGAGTATTATAATATAACATTGGAAGTCAATACTTAAAAAGTATAATTCAAAACCGAACTGTCTACCAGATTTTTCTAGATTCACATTTAAAGTTTGCATACGAGAAGCATTTGGTGTGAAATGTAGAAGTGAAATTCAGTTTGCGTAGGTTTTGTAAGATTATTTCAGTTACCTGAAGTTTTTTCTTCTCAGACCATGGCTGAGCACCAGTCCTACCCCTCTCTGGTCTTCTTTCACACTCCATGTGCATTTTTGCTTGGCTCTTGATGCTCGATAATGACTTGCCTCAATGGAGGAAAGAGGTGTATGTAGACGTTAGTCCATAGTATAAAGATAAAATTTGCATACATTGCTCCACCCACTTTAACCTATGTCTCCTACCTACCAGTAGTATATGGCCCTCATAAGGTTTCCCAGAAAGGAATGTGGCCCTTGGGGGGGGTTCTCAGCCTCTGTACATAGTTGGTGTCTGGTAGTTGACTTACATAGTCTGGTTATCTTGTATAGTTGTTTTGAGAAGGTTGTGCTCTAGTAAATAGCACTAGGTGTTATTAGTGACATAAGTGTCGAGCAACTAACCTTCTACTCCTAGAAATTCCAAGATATAATACAAGTTTCATCTCATTTTGCTTTATGAAGAATTTGTGAAGGTGCTAAGTGTTTTCAGGTCCCTGAAAATACACACAGGTCCTGCTTTACAAACACAAATTCACTTATCCAAACACAAGGAAATAGTACCCAAACCTTTCTCAGGAACGCATTAGAAATTTCCCCATAGGAATAAATGGAAATCATTGATTCGTTATGTGAACACTTGCCTAACTTGCCATTTCCAGGGAACACTTGCCATTTCCAGGGAATATGTTGTGGTCTGTAAAACAGGACCTGCGTATAAAACTGAAAGCAGGTTATTTGAGTTAGATCTTAACATATGGGCAGGACTATATGGGTGCAACCAGAAGAGATCTTAAAATGTGCAGTTCAGTTATGAATTGTGAGGATACTTAAGAGTTGTAAAGTCACTGAAAATAAGATGAATTTAAGAAACTGGAAGAGTGATGTAATGAGCGACGTCTTGAATAACAACTTGGGTTCTAATTTCTGCTTGGCTACCTCTTGGGGGAGCTTGGATCCAGTTACTCTCTCAGCCTAACCTACCTCACAGGGTTGATGTGAGCACAGAAGTGAGGAATGGAGAGAAAACAGTGGAAGCTTCTATTAATCATGCTGGCTGAGTCTGATGGGAATTGTAGTCCAAAAGCATCTGGAGGCCACAAGGTTGGTAAAGGCTAGCATATATCATAAAGAAGTCATCCTTCCAAAAGTCTGCTGTAGTAAGTGATATAAGTACAGTACTTAACACCTTTTAGGGACAACTTTGTTTGCAAGAAGCATTGAAAATAAACTGGAGTAGTTTTGTACCCCAATTGTTTACACTCAGCATATGCAAATGTTAATTTCTTCCCTGGAGTGTATTTTTATTTGCAGAATGTAAATAGTAAATTGTGTGTTGCTATACTTTGTTTATCCAACTAACAGATGACAGTGTATTAAAGTACAAAGTTACAGAACCCATCCCTCACAAATTCTTGCAAGAGAGATGCCCCAATGCAATTGCTGTCTGTGTCGAAATTTAAAAAGTAAACAAATCACCAATGCATTCTAACACACAGTAGCATTTTTTGTATTGACAGTTGCCAGTTGGTTATGCTAACCTTTATTTCTGTATGTATAGAAACTTGAGTCTAATGGTTCCACATGTATTTCAGTTCAGCAGATCTGAATGGAGGACCCTATTTCCGTATGTGGAAATGCATGCATGTTGCCGCCTTTGAACTATTAGGAGAAAATGTGGTATACAAATACAATGGAATTACAGTGATACCTCTGGTTACGTACTTAATTCGTTCCAGAGGTCCGTTCTTAACCTGAAACTGTTCTTAACCTGAAGACCACTTTAGCTAATAGGGCCTGAAGCAAAGTTCTTAACCTGAGGTACTATTTCTGGGTTAGCGTAGTCTGTAACCTGAAGCGTACGTAACCCGAGGTACCACTGTATTTTTATGGTTGGAACTATCTAAGCTCTGTAGATGTTGTTTTCATGATCCATTTTCAACCTTTTTTCAGAGTTACTACAGAGTACTCCAGAATCCTTAATTTTAGTTGGGTTTTTAAAATGTGTATGCCTTTTCCTTGTGATGGCATTACAGTGAAATTGAGTGAGCAATAGTTTCATTTTACCTTTGCCACCCACATTTAGTGTTAGTTGTGTCATTACATATTTTTTCCTCCAATGTTTTCTTCTAAAGAACTATGACAGTAGTACAACTCAGGATAGTAATACATTCACATTTGAGTATTACAGTATTTATTTTTCACAGAAAAACTGAATAGATTTTGAGAACTCTACCATTTTAGCATTAGTGTGTGCAAATGGTAATAGGATTTCAGCCTCAATGAATTTTCAGGAAACTATCATTGCAGGTCTCACTGTAACGACAATTATGTTTTCACATACCTATTAGTTAGCAAAGTATGTGCCAAACAATGACTCCTTAAACTTTACAAATTTGTGCTGTGAAATATGACTACCCTGAACTCTATTAGTTTCAGAATTCTTTAGAAAAAACAAGTGTTGCTTCTCCCAGTGCAAGTTACTTGATTCTTCACTCTTAAAAAGAGTGTGTGTTCGCATTAACAAATTGATGATTGTTAAAGTACAGTGGTACCTCGGGTTACATACGCTTCAGGTTACAGACTCCGCTAACCCAGAAATAGTGCTTCGGGTTAAGAACTTTGCTTCAGGATGAGAACAGAAATCGTGCTTTGGTGGTGAGGCGGCAGCAGGAGGCCCCATTAGCTAAAGTGGTGCTTCAGGTTAAGAACAGTTTCAGGTTAAGAATGGACCTCCAGAACGAATTAAGTACTTAACCCGAGGTACCACTGTATATTGAAGGCGAAACACCCACAATATGATTTCTCCTGTTTTGCATGCTCCTGGCTGTTAGGATACTGTGACAGTGGTTTTTCCTCTATCTGAGTCAGCTTGAGTGTGTGAAGAGAATATAGCTACAATGCATCCCATATGTGCTTTAGCTGCTCAGTGTTTGCTGCACTTATAACATGTGAGCAGTTAAAAAACAACCCTCTTGAACAGGGGTCAGCAAACTTTTTCAGCAGGGGGCTGGTCCACTGTCCCTCAGACCTTGTGGGGGGCCAGACTATATTTTGAAGAAAAAAATGAATGAATTCCTATGCCCCACAAATAACCCAGAGATGCATTTTAAATAAAAGCACACATTCTACTCATGTGAAAACACCAGGCAGGCCCCACACAACCCAGAGATGCATTTTAAATAAAAGGACACATTCTACTCATGTAAAAACACGCTGGTTCCCGGACCATCCATGGGCTGGAATTAGAAGGCGATTGGGCCGGATCCGGCCCCTGGGCCTTAGTTTGCCTACCCATGGTTTAAGATAATGGCACTTAGCTATGTTATAGGACAGAAATTAACCTAATTATGATTGCCTTGTTCAGATTATTATTTATGCCCATCAACAGTTTAGGAAAGTGATTTCTAAGTTTATATTTTTCATATATATAATGTTTCACCAGCTATTCATTACATCGCTGGAAATATTTATAATATAGATAGCCAAGGGCCTATCAGCATAAGCAACAGCAAATACTGTTAAAACATTTCAGTATTCAGTCTTGTATTCCCCACCTGTTTCCCCAACAATTGCTTTTCCTTTCTGCTTCCATTCCCTTTGCTTATCGTGCTTCTTATTGACACTGTCTGATCCATGTAGGCATGAGTTGCTCTTCAAAGGGAGTCAGCTGCATGATTTGGAAGGCCCTGTGCTAATCAGAGCAGCTGATCAATGGCAGCCAGAAACGCTATCGGCAAGAGACACAGTGCTAGTAATGGTGACAGAATGACAATCAGGAGTCAAATTCAACCAACAGAAGACCTGTCATACTGAGGGTCATAAGCTAGTTATAAAATATATGTGTTTAAAAGAAGCAAAGCAAATATCTACTGCCACAATAATTACTGGGCTGAGTGAACTGGCCTGTGGGCTGTCTGCCTAGAGTTTCCTCTATTCCCTGTTCCTTTTATAGACTAACAAAGGATTTTTTGTCTGCAACTTTGAAGTATCAGGTTTTTTTTCCAGCTTCAACACTACTGACAAATGGCAATTCAAACAGTTTTAGTTCCTTGCTGTTTTCAGGCATCAGGGTTTAGCTATTCTTTCAACTTCAAGAGGAAAAGTGCAGGTACAGAAACTGAAAGTTGATATTGATCAACATGTGCCATGGCCAAAAATAATGAATGAGAAAGTTAAGGGCTGCAATACCATTTCTGTTAAGATCATAAGAAGAGTTCTGCTTTGGCCTTCTACCAAAGGCCCATCTAATCTAGCATCCTGTTCCCAGTTTTCTTGACCTGGTGAATTATACCAGCTTGCTCTGTGTATGCACTTCATGCCAGTTTTTCCTCCTAGCGATTCTTGGATAATAAACATTTGATTTTGAATCATATTGGCTTGTATCCAACAAAACCGTATTAGGAGTACATTAATTAAAGTTTATTAATTGGAATGGGTCTACTTAGTTGCATACATCCCATTCATTTTAACTCACTTCATCCTATAGCATTTGTGCTATCAAATGTTCATTACATTTTGTTCTACCTTTACAGCCAGAATTAAATTAGTCACTATTCTCCAGTATAGCCATCTAATTGCTTGTTTAATGTGTTAACTCCCTACTGTATAGAGAGCAAGAGCCATATTTTAAGCACATATTTTCCCAATAGGAATGATCTGACTCTCTCTTTTTTTGGAACTTGAAAAGCTTAGCAAGACTATAAACAGGAATTGGTAGCTAGCATAATTTCATTGTCTGGTTCATTAATGATTTCTCTTCCATTTTATGTCAGTAGGTTTAATACTGATTTGTATGTACTAATCTCATATTGCAGAAGGGTACTGGAGATACCTTATTTGTGAAAATAACTCATGTCTCAGAGTGGGCTAAATAGTATACAACAAGCATCCCTCTGTAGGCTTCCAAAGGACTATGCAAATATAAATATAATCATTTTACTTGGTATGTCTTATAGTAATTATGAATTCACCTAAAAGTTGCATTGCTAAGAGAATCTGGAATTGGTGATACTGCTAATACCAAGGTCTGCTAAATAATAATTACTGTTTCCTACTGTAAACTGAACTGAAATTGGGGTGTGTCTCATTATTCCCTGAGTCATGAATGAGTTGCATCTTGCTTTGCATTCTTTGTATTACTGCATTCCTAAACTAGGTTTGCCTACATTGTTACTGAATAAAAATACTGAGAGTAGGTTTGATACAGTTTGAGATTTTCTCCCCACTGTTTAAACATGGAATTAGAAATCTTTTAAAGTATCAAGATTTGTTTATTTCCCCCCCTTGTTATATTTGTCCTTGTTTCACACTATGAACTGATGATCCACCTTGTTATTGTGGTATTGAAATTACCCTGCTGAAGATGAGATTTAGCTCTTCGAACAAGAATTAGAGTAGTAGTGTAGGCTCAGAACTGAATGGCCAGAGTGCCTGCCAATTATCTTATTTATTTTCATGACTCATTCTTCTGCATTTTTGCTAAAGTAGCAATGAATATTTTTAGATTTGCTGAGTTGTACTGTTTGAGCTTAGACTTACTGGAAGTACATCTTAGTATTTTCCTTCCAGTCAGGATGTGTTTTTATGCTGTGGATCATTGCCTACATAAGCTATTAAGCACTCTTTTACATCTTGGTCTTCTGTTTTTGGTTTTCCTGAGCGTACGTTTTTAAAATGCTAGGATATTGCTTCACCTATGTTCTTTCATTGAATTCTGTACTCTTGCACTAACAGGCTAATCCTGTGCATGGTTCCTTGTATATAGGCTTTGTTTTGTTCAGTGGCACTTATTCCCAAATAGAGGACTATATCCAAAATGTACAGTGTCTTAGAATATGTTCAAAACTTATATTCTTAGTAAGAATGTACATAGATTATTCTTTTGTGAGTGGCTTTGGAATCAGAAGGCATTTGTTTTATTGGAAGTTATTTTATTGCTCAATACAAAGTATGACACATCACATCAGTGCTAAAACAATGAATGGCATTAAGGTCTTTCTATTCCCAGTCTGTCACTTATGAGCTTCTGTACTTGGAAATGTGTTTGGGATGCTGTGCCCTGAAAATGCAGCAAGAAATAGCAATTTTAATAGGACCTTAATGCTAGTTCTTCTCAAAGGGCTCACTCATGAGAGATGTTACAGAAAGTCTGCATGAGAAAGAAATGAGACAGAAATTGGTTGGATGATCATTTTGCATGTGCTTTGTCATAAAAAGGGCTATAAAATGCTTCATCTGCAGCATTTTTGGTTATCAGAGGCTGGTTATGAAAATCCAGTATTAATCCACAAACGTCTGATGTTCCAGATCACTACAGCACAAGCATATGAAAATTGGAAGAAATGGCTGTTGCTCAGCTTTATCTATGCATTTATTAAGATAAAGGGCGGAGAAGCCATTTTATTATTTTCCATGTTGTTGCTGAGCAAGAGAAAGCTGGGAATACCTGGGAAATCCTCTCTATAACAACAAATGAATGGCCTTATTTCTTCCTGTTATCTTGACCCATAAAGCACTTCCTTCTTTTGGCCTTATAATCACTATTCTCTTGTGTCCCATATCTCTTACGTGTAACCACCTGCCCATATCATAGTCTCATATAATGCCCCTCATAACCCTTCCCTATTTGCCTTGTTCCCTATTATCATTCAGCGTACTTTATCTTTTGTCCCCTAGACAATTCTTGTCATTCTCTTCCCCTGCATCTCAGTCCTAGGGAGTCTCATGTTCTATTTTTTCACCTCTGTACTCCCACGCAGAATGTACTCGAACTGTATTTCAAATTCTGGCTGTCTTGGAGAAAACTGATAATTTATATTCATTTTGATCAATTTTCCAGACTGGTTACAGGATTGAAACAGCCTTGGTCACCCTGGCGGATGACTTATGCTGAGAATGGATTGGGGATGTGGAGGGTGACCCTCTTGGGGGCTTTCCGTACCATAGACCAGAGGTTTTCAACCTTTCTGAGTCCACAGCTCCCTTGACCAACTACATTCTTTCTGAGGCACCCCTGTGGGACTCAGGAACCCAGTTGTGTCACCCCTTGCCTGCAGAGCCGGCAGCCTCTCACTCTTTTTAAAACGTGCTCCCTTATGGATGGTTCCTTCAGCTTCCTCTCCCCTCTCCTAGGGAGTCCTCTGGGCAGCCACACTGGCTGCCACTGGTCTCTCAGCCCCCCCCCGCCTGCCCCAAAGGGAGGTGGCTCCTCACTCTGCCCACAGGGGCCTGGGAAGCACCCGCTGGCCAGCCCCAGAGGCACCATTCACCTGGGGAGCTTATAGCCAGGGCTGCTGCAACGAACATCTGTGCAGGCCTTTGGGAGGCAGAGATGCGAGAGGGCATCAGAGGAGGTAGGGAGGGAAGGAAGGAAGGAAGGAGAGACAGAGGCCAGTGTTGCCCGAGGCACCCCTGACTATCATTCAAGGCACCCCAGGGTGCCATGATACACAGGTTGAAAACCACTGCCATAGACCCTTGTATTCTTTTGTGTCGTCTTGCTAGGCTGGGCTTGGATGGCAGTTTTGATCTGGCTTCAGTCCATTCTGATCAGATATACTCAGCTGGTGATGCTGTTGTGACTTTTGTAACACCTCATACCTTTTGACTCCTGTGGTGCTGCAGTGTTCCATTCTGCCCCCCGTGCATCTTACCTTTTGTGTTAAACTTCTAGGTGAAGTCATCCATAACCAATTTTCTATAACACTTTATTTTTGAAAAAGTTTCTCAGTTGAATTACAGCAGAGACCCAACTGTTTCACATTTTACCTACTAATCCTAGAAAGTTTGTAGAACTCTTGAGCAGGTATCTGAAGACAGTCTTGATATAGATGACTGTGAACAAACTGAAATTTAATCCATTAGTTTGTAAAATTCTATTCTATTCCTAACGTTGGTAGGAGCTTTTTGTGTTAAAAGCTATTTTAACACATCTTGCTGCTTAGATAGGAAGATAGGTCAGATGTCTTAAAGAATATCTCAAAATTTTACTCTTTAACCTGTTGCATCCTTAACTCTACATGACAGGGTGTGTAGGGTCTCCTTGTTCCATGCACTAGGAATGATTTTTCTCAAACTTGAGTAATGCCAGCCATAAGCTTGTTGCAGTGATTACAATACAATGAAGTTCATTTTCTTGTCTGGCTGTTACAGAATTTATCATTCCTGATAAGCAGCACCCATTCTAATCTGGACTTGGGCCAGTCTGGAGCACAGACTTTTGTTTGGTCTAAACTGTATTTCTGCCTCTGCCTAAAAGTAAATAAGGTGAAAAGGGAGTAAAGCTCCTTTTCGTTAGTGTGAATGTATCTAAAGAAAAATATTTCCAAGATCTTAGCATGTGAAATCTTGTCAGTTTTAACATATAATCCGGCAAATATTGGTGTGGTTCAGACACACTCACAGTGTAGAGTCTATTCGTGGTGGCAGAACAAGACACCTTCCCAACTAATAGCTGTGTCTAACCTCTTGACCTGCAAGGCACCCACACCTTAGGTACTATATTCATAGAGACTATACTTGGAAAGTCCATTGCACTTGGCCTCAATCATGGTAATTGTTAACCCTCACCTGGATTGAGTTGTTCACATATGTTGGGTATGAAGATAAATTTGGTCTAAATCATGGACAATCAGTTGAGCTTCAGTCTGGCTTACCATGTGACCAGTTTCATTTATGTGATGCTTGGCGACATCTGCTGTAGTTTTCTGATACTTATGCAGGTTATTTGGGGATAGAGATAATAATATTAAGAGTTAGTAAGTAGGGCTGTGGGATAAAGGCAGAGTAGCATAAGGAGAACATAAACATGAACATAAGCCAGTTACATTAATTCACGGAGCTGGGGTAATGCTTTATGAGACCTTGATCTGGACAGCTTTGGGGGCAAATTCCCTGTTGTTTTAGAGTCATGTTGTAATAAAGCTCCTGTGACTCTTCTGCTGGGAGCACAAGCAGCTGAATTGATAGTTCTTCTCTTCTCCCACTCCATTTCCATGTGAATGCCTTCTGTGCTGGATGCACTGCAATGGACTTTGTTGGACTGCAGGTATCTGTTAGCTTTTACTTACCAAAAAGTGACAACCAACTAGTAGTCGGACTACCTGTATTGAAGTCCCATATCTGTGACGAATTCATTATGTGAGTCTAGGTGAGTCCAACACCCTTCAATGGAGGAATCTCAACACACATTCCTACATCTAATTTGAAACCATACCGGACCCTGATCAGCTTTGCAAATGTGCTATAGCAGAGGCTCAGTATCCATTCCCATATATAAAAATGCACATTAGCAGCAGCTTTTCTCATGGTGCTTTTGTGAACCGGACCAAGAAAGGGGTTGCAAAGCTTTAGCTGAATTAAAATGCATAGCATAGCAATATCTAATAATTGCTACATTCATTTTTTAAAAATCTAGTATTGAAACATACTCTAAATCACAAGCATTGTTTGCTTGAGTTAATATTGTATTTCTTACTAATGTTTATGATGAGTTTATGGGTTATTTCCCAGGTTACTGAATTCTATAAATATTCCACTAGGTTTGCATCATGATGCTTTAAATTGAATTTTAACAAATTTGATGGAGAAGTATGAGTTACCTTAGTTAAACACAATTGAATAGCATTTTTGAAAACAGGATTTTTATTTAGAAGCAGTTTCTGCGCACTGCCTGGAGTAAATGGCACATACTGAAAAACACGAGGGATCCTGTTGTGATTTTTATTCTATTTTTTACCTAGCAGACAACATGCGTGATCCTGTTGTAGATTATCTTCTTTCTCCATTTCTAAGGTCCAGCTCTCCCCTCTGGACTGGTGCTGTACTGATATTTTAAGCAGTCAGTGGTGCTGTGTGTAGCGCAGTTGTTCCCCAAAAGGATATTTTGGGTGTTCCAACAGTAACAAAGCTCCTGCTTGCATTATTTGAAGGACTAAAAGCTATAGTAGATACTATATTTTTAAAATAAGCAGCAGTTTATAATCTAAAAAAGTATAGGATATGGAGAAGAGGAAAAGAAGCAAGGCATAAAGTACATGTCATTGATTGCCAGATGGTGAAGGCAAATTGGATTCTGGTAAGTGCAACGCACGGAGGCATTTTAAAGACCTTTAAAAAGCCTTTGCCTTTGATAGGAAATAAAGGCAAATGTGTGAAGGAAAAGCAATTAGTTGTGCACCATTTGCAAAAGAGCAAAAGTGAAAAATTTAGAGAGCTGAGGTTTGATGCAGAGACGAGAGGCAGAGGGAGAACAAGTTGTTAAATTTGTGCGTGGTTGCCAGGCATTGCTTTGCTGTATGTTAAAGTACTAAGTACAGTGTGATCACTTAGATGTGAGTACATGAAGTGGCTATGATTCAGTAAAATATGGCTAATTGCTTATGATCTACAATAGCTCATTCCACATACACTTCTTTACAGCACACACCACCTAAGTCCTGTGAAATGCTAAAAATGGTATTTTAAGATTAAATATTAAAATCCTCAAGGAAGCCTTATTGTCTTATAAGCCAACATTGTCTTATAAATATGGACTGCAACACTGAAACTCTTGACTTGAATGGTGATATTTGTTCTTCATGGGAGGCAAGATAATTGCATTCCTTAATTAACAGAGTAAAGCTGCAATTCTAGAAATGTGCATAGAACTAGATGGGTTTTGAAACTTGTAGCTAAGCTGATCACCTCATTTAGCAAGGGAAACAAATTCTAAATGAAGAAGCTGCTAGCCTTTTCAGCTACTTTACTAGCTGCAGCGAAACTCATAAAAACATGGTGGTTTTGCATGCATGTATCTTGAACCTTTGCCTTTGCTGTTTAGGATTTCTGCCTAGAACAATAATATTGCATTGAGCAGTCCATCTTCATAATTCATGTGGATTAAGGGTTGAATAATATAGCTTTGGCATCATGGTTATCAAGAAAGCAGTTATGTTTCAGGTATTCAAATCCTCAAATTGGTCTGGTGTTTTAAGTGGTAAAAATTCACAGTAAGAGTCATCAGTGATGGGATATCAGTGGGAATATTTTTGTGAATCAGTATCTGTTTTTATGACATTGGTTTGTAAGTGCTGCCTTTCGTTTGGTGACTGGTAACGTAACCTATTACTGTTTCTTGACCTTTACAGGTATACCAAACTGGGATATGCTGGTAATACAGAGCCACAGTTCATCATTCCATCATGTAAGTTTTATGTTTGTGATCAGTTTATATTTGTGTTCAAAGATATATCCAGTTCTTAGTTTCAAGAATAGGTGTATATTTTTAAATGCTTTTTTCCTCACAGTAAACATTGCAGCCGCTTTGTTTCTCCTGTAGTCATTCTGCTACTGTGCTACGTGGAACTAAGCCATGGTTATATCTGAACCTGGGCTTGTGGTTTGTCTCATCCACAAACCATGAGATGTAAGTTTTTTAAGTTATGGGTATAATGGCAGCAAGACAACCAAGAAAGGAGTGAAATGGTTGTGATGTTTACTATGAGTACCTACACACTTGTGCATTAATGTTTAGCCATGGTGTGGTTTAGCATTATGTATACAACTGATACAATGTCTGATGCAAATTACTGTGTAGTTTTCAAATCATTCTTGAAGAACAAACTCCAGAATAGCGAAAGATATTCTAATTAGACTCTAGCACTGCAGTGCTGAGTCTTGGAGGATCTTTCCCCAGCTCTTCTGTTTCTTGGCTGCCCTAGATTAGCAAGTGCTGCTGGCTCCTCTTGCTTTGTGTGCCTTATTCTTTCTATGTGTCCTGTGAAATTCAAGTCTATTCATGGGAAAACTGTTACGGAACTCTCATATGATCAGTAGATGCTCTTTTTCAACTTTGGGTCTGCAGATGTTGCTTGGGATGATGGGAGTTGCAGTCCAACAACATCTGGGGACCCGAGGTTGAGAGAGGCTGCTCTCAAGAAAGAAAACTCACACCAATTTATTATTTCTGCCTGAAAGGAACTGCTGCTCAAGGGGCTATAATATCAGCTGATGAAATGAAAACATCTATTGCTCTTCCATCCCCAAAGGCCAAGTTCATGAATAATTATACTAAGTGCAATTGCTTGTTGTAATTCATGCTCCAGAATAGGATTATCTTTATTAGAAAAGTACTGATTTTTAATACTAATTTAAACAATCCCGGGCCGCTTTGAAAATGAGAATATAAACTTGTTCTCGTCATTTTTCTGTATCATGGGAGAAGGCTTGTGGAACCTAGTCTTTCAGCAGGACCGATGGAGAGTCCTTGCATTATCTTTTCTCCTTCGATAGCCTGGTTGGAATGGCTGCTGATAGTTAGAAATAAAAACCTGGGGATTGGGTGGAGGGAGTCCTTTATTTAGTACATTTATATGCTGCCCATCTAGCCAAGTTCTTCATGTTCATTATAGCTTGTAGTATCCTGAAGGGTGGCATTGCTGGCATCCTTCATAAGGAATGATGGTGCACTGCAACTTGTAACATCTACATTAGACATATAGTTTTGCATAAATATCTCACATAATTGTGGATTTTTTTTTACTGCAGAGATAGGCTTTTTAACAGGTAGAAGGAGGTTGAGGTAATCAATGTGGTAAAAAGAGCTTTCAGAAATTTAGCTATGCCTTTTCTTGCTTTCTTTGCTAATGCTGGAGGAAACTATTAGTCATATTTATATTCAGGTCCTCCCCCCTTAATTCATGATGGTGTGATATGGCTCAAAATGCCATTGATTGATTGATCTTTACAGTACTGAACACATTTGCATTTGTGATAAACTATTCCGAAGAAGCTGTCACTGAATTTTCTTTTAAAGATTTTCAACTAGAGACTTAATCAGTGTGCACACTAATGCCCAATGCAGTACAAACACAACTTTATTTGTTTTTAAAGTGTTTAATTCTTGCAGCACACAAATCCAAGACAACCACTTTCTTGCCGGCACAACTCCCATCTTTTTCTACCCAGACGTAATTTCCAGGGCACTGCTTTTCTAGGGCGCTGTTTTTCCTCTTGCTCTGAAGTTGCCCAAAATAATTCCACTACATCTTAAATTTGGACAAGGGCAAAATTATTAAGTGGAGTTTGGAAAGGCTTTTGGCATTGTTTCCCACCCCATCCCCTACCTAAGATCTGTTGCTTCCTCAAGTTGTGACGGTGATATCTAATAAAACTGAATTGAAATGACTGAAGGTCTTAGGATACCTAAAAGCAAAAAGCTAACAAACAAAACTTTCTGGCCAGTGCTATTGGTACAGTACCTCAATTTTCTATTATAACACTTCTGCTTATTCAGTAAAAATGTACATTTAGAACTAAAATGAGAGATTTGCAGAGGAATGCGCTGAGAGATTAATGCTATGTGGTAGAAAAGGAGACCATGAGAAACCAAATGAGAAAAGGGATGAGAAACTAAATGAGAAAAGGGAAGCTGTAGAAATGTAATAAAATTCCAGTAACTTATTGCGTAGGAATGGAGACATATAACTGCAATGAGGGTACATGCAGTAAATGGTACAGAGTTCCTTCCTTGGTGCTATAGAATTGGAGATTTCCTGATAGATTTATGTGGCAGAAGCACACTGCACCTACAGATTACTTTCCTTGTGGGTGTCTTGAAGTCTATTCCTCGAAGTCATTTGAAATGTATCTATTTAGAAAGTTAGATTGTGTACCCACTAAATGAATAACTTCCTCCTTGGCAGTACTTGCAACAAAATGAATATCGCTTTGAAAGTTTAGGATACATATCTGTCTCGGCTGACTGCAACTCTCTCCCCCCCTCCCTACATTTAAGGTATCGCTATCAAGGAATCTGCCAAGGTTGTCGATCAAGCACAGAGAAGGGTTATGAAAGGTGTGGATGACCTAGACTTCTTTATTGGGGATGAAGCAATAGAAAAACCAACATATGCAACAAAGGTATTTACAACTAGAACTTTTGCTACTTTTTAATAAAAAAGAAACCACACAACCAATTTACCCTGCCGTAGAGATTTGCCTGCTCATTACAGAGGTTGTTTTATAGAATGATAATGCATAAAGTACCATAAAACAGTGATAACGTTGCAACTCGCAAGTCTCTGGTTGGAATGAATAAAATATTTTGTGGTTATAAGATTGCAAGTTTATTTAATACATTTCTGTCCTGGTAGTTGAGCCAATATCTCAGAGCAATATTTTAGAGAATGAAGAAGCTTGTGTTATCCTCAGGAATGTACAGTGGTACCTCGGGTTAAGTACTTAATTCGTTCCGGAGGTCCGTACTTAACCTGAAACAGTTCTTAACCTGAAGCACTACTTTAGCTAATGGGGCCTTCTGCTGCTGCCGCGCCACGGGAGCACAATTTCTGTTCTCATCCTGAAGCAAAGTTCTTAACCTGAAGCACTATTTCTGGGTTAGCAGAGTCTGTAACCTGAAGCGTATGTAACCTGAAGCATATGTAACCCGAGGTACCACTGTAATTCTAAAGTTTGGAAGTCACGGCAGAGAAGGGCCATCACTTGGGTCACAGCCATCTCACGGAAGAAATGGTCCCCTGGTCACATTCTGTGATTACACTGCCACATTGGCAGTGTTCAAGTCACTAGAAAAAACGTAGCCAAATGTCATAACTCAGAACCAGCATGAAACATTACCAAACAAAATGGTATCTCCCACTTGGACTACTGCAATGTGCTCTATATGGGCCTACCTTTGACCATCCAGCTCTCTTTGAATTAAAAGAGGAACAAATGATCTTAATGTGAAAGATCTTTAGGCAGTGAAATAGCATAGATCAACATGAAGAAGGTGAGTTGTGTCACTAATTTTTTTGGTGGCGCTCTTCACCTAAATAGTTTTGTGCCTGCCCTCCTCATTCAAGGAATCCGGTGTTTTGTTTTTTCATTATAGTAAAAGTTATATTTTATCTTAGTTACATCAACAGTGCATCCAGAAATTAAATAATTATCAGTGGAATTTGGCCTTTATGTTACATTGTGAGTTTCCCAGAGGTTGCTAATGGGGGTGAGTGAGATGTTAGATTAAATGGACCCTTACTTGGATCCAACAGGGCAGGTCTTATGATTTTATGTTAAGTTGTTATTCAGCTGAGCAACATAGCTGCGCAAAACATAGTTGGGATATAGAGTACTGTTGTTTTTATCTAGGATGTTTGAAAAGACTGAGATGTAGTCCTTAAATCCTATACACAAGAATAAGTATCTTGAACAATTTATACGCTGAGCAAATACCTTGCAGACTAGTTCTTTTTATCTTCATACAGAATTATATTTATGTAGCTCTAACATAATTTAAAATACCTTTAAAAAACCTCTTTTAATTGCAACATTTTCAACAGTGGCCCATCCGTCATGGAATAGTTGAAGACTGGGATTTGATGGAGAGGTTTATGGAACAAGTAATCTTTAAATATTTAAGGGCAGAACCTGAAGATCATTATTTTCTATTGGTGAGTACAGTCTATCTTCTATTTTTTAAGCGTTCACAACATCCTTTCAGCACACAGTGGAGAATAAATTTTAACTTGCAAGAGAGTTGAGGCAGAAGTAGCAGCTTGAACACATGCACGGTAGCAGTTACTGATTAAATGAGTTTTTCTTTTTGGAGTGTTAAAAGCCACAGAGCTTCTGAATTTTGGATGACTGCTTCAGTTTCTGTTTCTTTTAACTTGCACCAGCTCTCTCTAGAGCTGAATAATGGTGTCCTGGCAACTGCATTTTACATAAGTATTTCTCCAGTGATGCAACAGGGGTATATCTGGTGTTTGAGTAGAATTAAGACTGCTAAAACAGCTGCTGTTGCTTAGAGACAAGCATTAGTCAGTGACATTTGGTTTCTTCAACTTTTTTCTGCTGGGATTCTTAGAAAATAGGCCTTGAGTGGCCTCGAACTCACATTAGAACATTTTTTATTTTAACAATGGGCCCAGGATCTATATGGCCCTTATGTCATATTTCAGAATTGGATGCAAATTAGCTTGTTAAATTTCTCTATTTTTATATAAAATGGTAAATGGAAAAATGAACACACAGGTACATTATTATAACAGAAGTATTGTTACATTAAAGATACTTTGCTTAATGTAGTATAGTCAACTCTAAGTATAGGCATAAGTCCTAGGCATGAGACTTATTATCCAAAACAGCAAATGAGATGCTAAACCTGTATTTTGACTAGAAATGCCAGATTAATTTGTTCTTTGTGAATTCCGATATGAATTGGTCTAACTAACCTTTCCTTCCGGAATCAGAATGTAGATTGAAACACAGTTATTATTTGGATTTGTCATGCTTCTGAATTTGTGATATAGTTCATGCTCAAACACATTAAATGTGTATAGGAATGGGTATTTTAAGATAAAGTAAGTTCTTCTGTTGTTGTTTTTCTACAAGTACAACTGAACTGTAAAAACTGAGCTGACTGGATGATTTTGCTTTACAGACTGAACCCCCTCTAAATACTCCAGAAAACAGGGAATATACTGCAGAAATCATGTTTGAGTCCTTCAATGTTCCCGGGCTTTACATTGCTGTTCAGGTGAAACATCATTTAGTTTACAGTTGAGATAAATGTTTTAAGTAACGTTCCTTAAGAGGAGAATATGCAAGCTGTTGTGCAGAAATTGGGATTGGCACCAGATTTGGAATCTCTCATGTGGACTCTGACCCAAAAAGTAATTTCTGGTTTAATCCTGCTAAAGGACCAGAACAATTCACCTTGTTCTTGGGGCCAAACTGGATGCCACATTGCGATAACCATGTTTAGAATTAAGTCTGTTGCCAAATCTCTTTATTTTTTGCATGGTTGGATTGGTGTGGAAGCTGAATCTTACACCATCTGAACTATTCTGCCTCCTAGCTTTTTATGCTGTTTTTCTCCCACGAATGCTCTGGCAGACATTATTTACAGTCACAGAGAGTGGCTGCTTTTTAAAAGTGATATTTGGTGGGGAAATATGAGCAGGTTGATTTCCCCACCAGCCAATTCTATGTTTTAAATCAATGCCCGCCTGTCCTGTTTGTCAGCTGGCACAAGGTTGTAAGCTGTTGCCATCATGTCTAATTGTGATCCCAATTGTATTGCAAAGAAATACATGAGCAAATAACAACATTCTGTAATTACTCCACAAAAGGAGTACAAAAAACCGTGTTCACGCACTAGAAGATATGATTATGAACAGAATGTCTTAACCCTTTGAAGATACATCTCTCTGTTTCTGTTGGCTCTTCGAATTAGGACACTACACTTTTTTTAAAAAAATAATTTTTATTAACCGACCAATCAAATCAAATCAAATCACATCACATAAATTCCGAATTACAAAGCCGAATTTTAAATTTTTGTTGGAGGTACCCATATTTCAAGTTCCGAAGGGGATTCCAATCATCTTCTTGCTGCTGCATTAATGTCCACAAATCTGTCCAAATAATGTTCACAATTCTATTCAGTCCTATCTTGCTGTTTCCACATCTCCTCTTGTTATTTGCATATATTTTTCTTTTTTCTTTGTGATCTCTTCTGATAATCTCCTTAAGCAGGTAAACACAAATTGTAATCCTGTGTGAATTTTTCCGTTCGTCCAATAACCTTATCGAGATGGTTTCCATGTATCATCACTTCCATAAATAAAAGCACTTTTTCCATCATTAATCTTCGCAAATCTGTCGCCTTCTTTTGTCCTCTGAGGAGATTCATCCGCTATATGAAAACAAATGCATTCCTCCTCCCAAACATAAGTCTTTTGACAGAACTTGCCAAAATGGCGACGCTGTTTTTTACTGCGTCATCCCAAAGCTCTTGTTATTGTCGGCCATCTTCCAATGCGCCCCTAGTTGCCCCCTCGAATTAGGACACTACACTTGTGTGGATTTCCTGAACTTGCAATAAGGCTCTCTGTTAAAGCTAAGAGATATAAATAAATTTATAAACATCTATTCTAAGCCAAAAATGTCCCTTTGTGGACCTTAAAACAGAGGGTAATATTTAAAATTCATTAAGCAAAGTATTCATACCAGTGAAAATTCAATGTTAAACACATAAAGTTGTTCTGAAATTTTGTTTTGAAAAGCAGATTATGTATTTCATAAACATACATTGCCCCACATTTAATCTCTGAATAGCACTTTCCTCAGGTTTCTTTTAAAATACAACACAAAAGTCCATATGTGTATGTATAGCTGTTTAGATTTAGAGCAGCGTTGCCTTCTTTCAAAGGGGAGACAACAGCAAAATTGTCACAGGAAGAATAGTTCTGTGTCTCAGTTTGATCTATGGAATAAGATGCACTTTGCCTCTTAAGAGAAAAGTCAGATAATGATTCAGAGACTTCACCATTCAGATCTGCATATATAGTTTACTGTAAAAGCTAATCTTTTCAACCTACCGTACTTCCAGAAAACAGCTGTCGTCTTGTGTAGGCTTGTGAGGATGTGGATCCTTAACCTTTCTGTTTTGAGTGTCTACATTAGTGTTTTAGTTCCTCCTCATTATGTTCTGTTGAATGCACGGCTCTTCATTGCACTCCTTAACTTTTATTGGAGATGCCTAAATTCTTCTGCAGAAGATCTGCAGCAATAATTTGACATTTCTTTGCAATAAACTGTTGAATTTAATATAATATTAGCTTAAAGAAAAGCTTTTCAGAAACATGATAATATTTTACTACCCATAATAGATAAAGCCCACAGTAATTGATTGAGTATATGGGAAAATGGCTCCCTTGTCAGCTCCTGAGAAAGGGGTGCAATTTCTATGGGAAGCTCCTTTCAGAAGCCAGATCTTCTGCTGTTGCCTTCATGGTACAGAAAGGAGATGTGCTGCAGTGATTCCTATGTTACAAGGTAATGTGAGAAAGGGCCCTGAGTTTTTAGATTGTTTAAAACTAGTGTGGCTTCAGCTATATAGTACCAGTTAGGTAGTTCCTATATATATATCAATGCATATTGAGATTTCCCCAAAGCTTGAATTACAGTAAATTTCCATTTTTCTGGTTAACTTTTGGGTGCTGCTGCAATTATAGAAAGTAAAGTCTACCAATTTTTAATACCATTTTTAGGGTTTTTATTTCCAGTTCCTTTGTTCTGTTTTCTTACTTCTTGTTTTCTTCTGCTGCATGGTGCAATGTAACTATGTTAAATGGTTTTTGCCTGATGTGGCAATCTTTGCTTGAAGACTAGGCCTTTAGGCTGGTTATGAGGTACTAAATCTCAAATTCTTTCCTTGGATAAGGCCGTCCTTGCCTTAGCTGCATCTTGGACATCAAGACAAGTAGGAGAGCGAACACTGACTGGAACGGTTATAGACAGTGGGGATGGTGTCACTCACGTCATTCCTGTGGTAAGTACACATAAATATGGGTGTGGTTTGTGGAACAACACTGCTTCTAAAACTATCACTATTATGGGAAGGATAGTCTTGGCAGCTCTGTTCAGCATTTCCCCAGTGAACTAGGTGTTATATATCACACAAGATTGTGCTAAAATTAGCATTTAGGAACATATTCTTATTTTTATTTTGGAGACAGAAGTTAGAGAAAATCTGCTTTTTTTTTGCTTTAGGTTTATAATTGAACTTTGTAGCTTGATGAAAGTTTTTAATAATTAAATCTGCAATGCTCCCAGTATAATATATGAAGGTATCCTTCAGCTAAATCTGAAAATTTTGTGGGGTTCGTTGCTTTTAAGGAAGACATGGCGATCTCTTTGGAAGTGATGCTGCCACCCCCACATTAAACAAAAATCATGTGGGCAGAAACTAAGCTTCCTGCCCTTCATCCAGTGTAGATTTACTTCCCTTATTTTCTTCCTCCTCCTCCTCTGTCTTACAAGCTGATGAAAGAGGAAGGCTATACTGTACCAGACTGATGATCCCCTTATATATCTCTGTCTACCATTATCTGTTTACACTATGTTAAAGACACACACCGTGTGTGTGTGTGTGTGTGTGTGTGTGTGTGAGAGAGAGAGAGAGAGAGAGAGAGAGAGAGAGAGAGAGATCTTCAGAATTATTTTAAGTTTGGATCCTTTAGTTGCAGTAGTGATAAATAGCTACCAAATTTCCCCTCTTTTTCCACAAAAATAGAAGAGCTTTAATACTTCCAGGATTCATTTCATTAGGAATCAGAGTGGAGAGATTGCTTTGTGTTGTTGTAGATGATGCTTTAATTAAGTGCTGGTATAAGTTATGGCATGTAGAAAATCCACCATTATCTGTTCTGTAAAGGGAAATATCCATGCAACAGAAAGTGCGCGATTTGAGATGATAGTAGAGAGATGGAAACATGGGACTTGCTTGCGATATGTCCTATTCAAGTGTTTACAAATATGTCTCTAAAATTTGTATTTGGGATTCAGTTCATTGAAGGATTTTATTATTATTATTATTTACTTTCAGGCTGAAGGTTATGTGATTGGCAGCTGTATCAAACATATTCCAATTGCAGGACGAGATATAACTTACTTTATTCAACAATTGCTAAGAGAACGAGAAGTAGGAATCCCTCCTGAACAATCATTGGAAACTGCTAAAGCGGTGAAGGTAATGTATATTTTAAAAAGCAAATAGATACTTAACGATTGGCTCAGTAAGACTCAAAAACTGACACAGCATATATATGTTCTTTGCCACTACTGGTATTAACTTTAACAATTCAGATCAGGTGACATATATTGGAAATCAAGATGCTATCTTGGTGGTAACAAATTGCCAGTAATCTAGTTAATTCTCTGGGCTAGGAGGGTATTCTAATACTAAAAAGTACTTAGTTTTGCATAATGAAAAGTCATAATTACTTTTCTTGAGACTTTTCATGATTTTTTTTTTTTAGCAGCTCTATTATTACTGACGGATTTTAAATTCTAAAGTGTATGATGGTATGGTATGTAACCATGGCAATAGTACATTTGAGCATGCATTTTCCGGAGTTAGCATCTCCCAACTAAAAAACTCCCACCTAAGATAGTTTAGGCTGTCAGGTCTCAAGAATTTTTGCCTAGTGGTGCATAGAATTGTGTCTAGCGCTGAGTGCTAATTATCTTAAATGTATGCAGTTAATACTAACTGAACAATTCTCTGGTGTTTTCATTTGTTTTTGTTTTTTTAAAGGAAGTTTCATTCCTGTTCCATTTAAACTGATCAAATATAAAACCTTAGTAGATTTTTGGAGATTTCTTTTGTAACTGTCTGCATCTGATTTCCAGGAACGCTTTAGTTATGTCTGCCCTGATTTAGTAAAAGAATTTAACAAGTATGACGCAGATGGTACCAAGTGGATCAAACAATATACTGGAATCAATGCAATCTCAAAGAAAGAATTTACCATTGATGTTGGCTATGAGAGATTCTTGGGGCCAGAGATCTTCTTTCATCCTGAGGTAAACTGGTGCAGATCTTCATAACGCACACAGAAATACACTTTTAGTTTTATCTTCTCAGAAGTAAATACTGTTGTGCTTGAATGAGTCTTGTTCCCTTGTAAGTGTGACTTATGATTGCAGCTTTCATTCCATAATGTAGGGCAGGTAGTGACTTTCAAAGTTGGAATTAAAAGCCAGCGTACTTCCACCCCCCCTTTTAAAATAACCTTAGAACCCAATTTCTTGGTGCCGAGTTAATTATGTTGGCTTTAATGTTCAACTGAATCTGTTTTTAACTTTTGAGGATTGTGAAGCTTTAAGGCATTTCCCCCAGCTTCTTAAATGATACTCAGCTGAAGAAGAATCTGAGGGTGGAGGTGGGAGGGGAGATCTAGCTGTTATCACTAAAAGCCACACAACATGCTTTGTATAATAGTTTCTCTCTTCCCACTTCAAATTTGAAACCACCAATCTGGCTTCTGTGGTGAGCTGAGGGAACAGGAATAAATATTTCTTCCAGCTGATTCCCATTTTTTCATGCTGAATAAAACTGTTTGATTCAGTGCTTAGCATCTGAGATGTGTAGGCGGTCTCCAAAGTGTTCAGTACAATGCAACAGCAGGGAGAATGGAAAGGGTAAAGGGATTGGAAGGCTTACATTTTCCTGAATTCCTGTTCTTCAGTATCTGTATATGGTTGTACTTGGTTTTTTACCCTTTCATTTTTTTTATTAGTTTCAAATGATCTTTATTATTATAACCCAGGACCTTTGAGAATAAGTGGTACTTTACAGAGGCACATAAGCAGGCAGAAGCTGCCTCAAATTTACAGTGTAAAATAGCCATTGGGGAAGACTGTAGAGGCTGGTGAGGGAGAGACGAGAACAAAGATTATTTTTCAGAGTAAATACTGAGTCTATTTTTTGAATTAGAATTTACCTTCAATTAAACTAGTGCTTCTTTTTCCATAGTGTTTCTCACATTGTTGTGTCTTAGTTTTTTCCATCTTGCTAAATTCATCTCATCTAGCTTCCTTAATGCTTTCTTTAGAAATCTGCAATAATCTACACTTGCCTCTAATATGTTAAAGAGAAGGCTGATGCTTCAGTATTATGTATGGAAAACGAAACCTGTTTGTATTTGTTTTTTTAAATGCTGCATTAAGCAATAAAATTACTTGTAACCTAATCAGTTCTTTGCTGAAACATACTTCTGTTTTTAGTTTGCTAATCCAGACTTCACACAGCCTATCTCAGAAGTAGTAGACGAGGTAATTCAGAACTGTCCCATTGATGTTAGACGTCCGCTATATAAGGTTAGTAAAGCTAAATAATGTTTGTGTGTATGTGTGAGAAAGAGAGAGAGAGGTTTTTTCAGAATATATCTCTGCCTACTTGCTAAAGAGATCTCAATTCTTCCGTTGAAAGCACAATAATGGGCTATGTTACAAGTGTAAAAAGCTGCCGTATGCAGTCTGACAAGTGACCCACCTAGCTTAGGGTCTACACTGACTGGTAGTGGCTTTCCAGGGTTTGGAGCAGGGTGGTCCAAATTTTCATACCAAGTGGGCCTTGGGACACGGCTGGTGCTGTGGCCTAAACTACTGAGCCTCTTGGGCTTGCCGATCAAAAGGTCGTGGTTCGAATCCCCATGACGGGGTAAGCTCCTGTTGCTCGGTCCCTGCTCCTGCCAACCTAGCAGTTCGAAAGCACGTCAGTGCAAGTAGATAAATAGGTACTGCTGCAGCGGGAAGGTAAACGGCGTTTCTGTGCGCTCTGGTTTGCATCACAGTGTTCTTCTGCACCAGAAGCAGTTTAGCCATGCTGGCCAGATGACCTGGAAAGCTCTCTGTGGACAAACACCAGCTCCCTTGGCCTGAAAGCGAGATGAGCGGTGCAACCCCATAGTTGCCTTTGACTGGACTTAACCGTCCAGTGGTCCTTTACTTTACCTTTTACCTTACCAAGTGGGCCACAATAATACTTAGACATGGAACCCCCAGGCTGCACACTGCCATGTCACACAGGGGTTGGGGAACAAGGCTAAAAGTTGGTGCCCCCTCCCCAGTCCTCATGCTTCCTTTCCAAAGCTTTACCAGAAGGTGCCAAGGACTGAACTTAGACCCCTTTGTGTGCTAAGTATGTGCACATTTATCCGTGATTAGCCCTTCACTAATGTACATGTGGATATTGTAAATAATGTAATTCACAGAATGAAATATATTGTTAAACTATAACTAGAAACAAAATGTGAAAGGGTTAGGTTGTATCCCCTGCTGCTGTTCCACTATTATAAGCAAACTTCTGCTTGTGCAACAGAACTTCTCCTTCCCCTCTTACTCTCTGGTTGGAAGACCCTCTGGAGGAGGTTTTGAGGGGGAGAAGAGTGGAATGAATTTTGGCATGATCATTTAGGAACGTTTGTTGTGTTGCATAGCTTTTAAAATTGGGCTGACTCAGAACAAACTTATTAAACAAGTTATTTAATAAATTTCTAGATGAAAGTGCACTTTAAGTATCTAAACATCTGTAGTAATTTGTAATCTAGCCTTTCTTTCATGGGGTGCTCAGCTTAACACTGATTGTAAAGCCATAAAATTCTCAGGCTATCTGTAAAATTCCTATTTGTGAAATAATTTGTCTCAATCTCTTAAATTGAGCATGTATGGCTCAAGCATGGCCCTGTTCCTTGCTGTGACTGTTTTGCAGTCATTACAGCTGCCTTCACTCCTTATTTTCAGAAACTGATTCCTAACATCCAGTGTTGTTAAGTAATACAACTTTTGTGTGTACAATTTAGAATATTGTCCTCTCTGGAGGCTCCACAATGTTCAGGGACTTTGGTCGCCGTTTACAACGAGACTTGAAAAGAACTGTTGATGCCAGACTGAAACTCAGCGAGGAACTGAGTGGTGGCAGACTGAAGGTTTGTTTCTTTAGTTAAGACGTTTCACTTGTATGTGTAGTTCGTTGTGCTAGTTTACGTCACATCTCTAAATGGAATCCAATAAGAAAGCCATTAAATTGTGTCATCCTCATTTTGAACTGTATCAATCTCCTCATCTTTAATTACCATATATACTCGAGTATAAAGCCAACTTTTTCAGCACATTTTTATGCTGAAAAAGCCCCCCTTGGCTTATACTTGAGTGAAGCGCGCGGTGGCGGCGGAGGGACGAGCGGCCCGAAAGGAGCCCTTTTGGGCTGCTTGTTCTTCTTCCGCTGCTGCCGCCACCACCAGGTTTGTGGTGTGGTGAACCTGCTTATACTCGAGTCAATAAGTATTTCCAGTTTTTTGTGCTAAAATTAGGTGCCTCGGCTTATACAGTGGTACCTCGGGTTACATACGCTTCAGGTTACAGACTCGGCTAACCCAGAAATAGTACCTCGGGTTAAGAACTTTGCTTCAGGGTGAGAACAGAAATCGTGTGGTGCTGGCAGCAGCGGGAGGCCCCATTAGCTAAAGTGGTGCTTCAGCTTAAGAACAGTTTCAGGTTAAGAACAGACCTCCGGAACGAATTAAGTACTTAACCTGAGGTGCCACTGTATTTGGGTCGGCTTATACTCTAGTATATACGGTACTTTCCACATTTGTGAAGGTTTCATTTTGATGGCTACAGGCATTTATCCTGTCCGTGATCTTGAAAACTAGTAGTGGTTTTGGAGATGCAGCTGTTGCCACTTTTGTGGAGAATGGATACTCCTGTTTCAATGTTTATTGCAGCAGATGGATAACAAATAGAATTTGCCAGTTTCCTCAGAAAAATAATAAAAAGCATTTATTTCAAGTCTGCTGGCAACATGAGGCTTATTAAATTATAGAACTGCTTTCAGTACTGTGTATTGTTTTTGGTTGGTGAATAAGTGCTTATATTGGAAACTACCTTTTGTTACATAAGAAGAGCCTGCAAGATCAGGCCCGCGGCCCAACTGGTTCAGCATCCTGTTCTCACAGTGGCCAACCAGCCTGAAAGCAGGATCTGAGTGCTTTACTGGCCTGACCACTTCAACTTTACTGTCCTGTACTTTCCCTCTGGCACAACAGATTGGAAATGGCAAGAGGCATGTTATAGTGGCTTCTGTGAGAGAAGGGAGAAATATATTGAGGTGTTTTTTATGACTTTAGTACCTGGGGAATAAGTGATTTCTAGATTCTGCCTGTTTTCAACCATGTAAACCCACAAGAAGTATCTTGTGGCATTTTTGGGAGAAAGGGAAAAGTTCACACTTGTAATATAGAGAACGTTAATGGCTGGCAGTGATTTCCCAGGGTTTCAGGTAGAGGTTTTTCTTACACGTATGACCCAATCATTTTAGATAAAAATATTGGGGCTGGGACATGGGACCTTCTGCATGCAAAGTCATGTGCTCTTCCACTGTGCTGAGAAAACATATATATCTTGAAACTTATTCAGATTAGTGCATTTGAGAGAATTTGATTAAAAACTGTTTTGCCTGACAGTTAAATATTCTTAAAACTGGGGTTTTGCTACAGCCAGTGAAAAAAAAAAGAAGTGTCTGTAATGGCATTTTATTTAAAACAGTACTCTGTACTGATTTTATTTTCTCTTGTAGCCCAAACCCATTGATGTACAAGTTATCACACACCATATGCAAAGATATGCTGTCTGGTTTGGAGGATCAATGTTGGCTTCCACAGTAAGTTGACAAAAGGAAAAAGAAATCTGAAGAGAACTTTTCTCACATATATTTTGACCTGTATTCACTGTCACTGTTTTCCACTTTATCCATGGTATATGTTTATAGGACAAGCCCCGTCATGGTGCTTTAAAAAGTGCTCCTATTTTTTTTGGGGGGGGGGGATACTGCCTGGAACCTTTTATAAATAGACTTTCCAAAATATTTGTAACTTATGAGGAGCTTCCTTGAAAAATGTAAATGCATGGGGGAAGAACTTTTCACACTGTCTATTGTTTATCTGTTCCTAATTTTTTTCAGAAACATCTTTTTAAGGCAGTGTTGTCTTGTGTTACATAAGCTATAATACAGGCACGAAACTGAGACAGGTGCTTTAATAACAAGTTTTAATATATTGCAAGTGTAACCTAAAAGTGACAAAAATATATTTTTAGTGAAAATATTCCCTTTTATCTTCTTTTCCCCCCAGCCTGAGTTCTACCAAGTATGCCACACCAAAAAAGATTATGAAGAAATTGGTCCTAGCATCTGTCGTCACAACCCAGTTTTTGGAGTTATGTCTTAAATCCGACCTGCCATGAGTTGGATCTAGGGAGGCTGGGAGATGGAGGGTCTTTCTCAATACATGTTTGTCTGGATGGCCGGTATTAAGATAACAAAACATGACTTGAAAATAAGAAAAAAAAAGACCAAACACAATTAAACAGGAATATTTTAATAAGTGTCTCAACATGCAGATGTAGTGGGAAGCCAAAATGATTCCAAGTGTTTTTTTTCCTTTCGATTGAATATTTGATCCTGTGCGTAAACAAAACAAAAGAAGTGGGTTTTTGTTCTTTCTGTGCCCTGATATTTTGTATATTAATGGAATATCCAAGATTTGATGGGATTTGATGGTGTGTAGATAGTCAGCTCTATAATTCTTCAATTGTACTCTTACACGTGTACAATGAGAGAGCTTGTTTATATTTCATACTTTTTTATACGTTGAGAAAAATATCAGTGAATGAAAGAAATGTAATATTTGACAAGAGAAATACCAGTGACCAATTTGAGATGAATAAAAATAATAATAATGCCCACATGAAGCTTAATCATGTGAATCTCTAGTAACTTCAAATTATGACCAATCTTAAAACTTGGGTTCCACACACAATGCAACTTGGCAAGTGCTTATGGAACTAAGGAGCTAGAATCTTGGATTAACCGATGCCTGCTAGTGCTTTCTGATTACTCGGTGCATTTTCATTCTATTTCTTGCTTTGGGGGCGGGGGGAAGTAAAGACAAGACTGTTGGACCAGTATTGCAGTTCTGTAGTGTCATTTCTAATTACAACCAAATATTCAAGTTATCAAAATAGGTGTATTCCACCATTCCAATAAAGACACAAAAATTCTTTTTAATGTTTGTCTGAGGCCTTTCAGTCTCATTGCTTGATCGTTTGAAGGTCTCTCTCTCTCTCTAGTTTGCCATGGCAGTTATTAAATAATTTTAAGGAGACAAAAATGGAACAGGTATTGTGACACAAATATGAAAGTGGTGCATGTGTCTGTGATTTTAGTTCAACAGCATACAGAAGTGCATATGCAATTTATAAAAATTTAGCTTTCATTAACATTTTCTCATTATGTTTTGGTAAATAATGCTGCTGTATTTTGGGGGTATTGTTGATTTGCTACTGCAGGATCCAGGGGGTGAATTATATGGCTTCTGTATATACTGTTATCTAACAAGGAGCTGGTATGACATGGCTGACTATACAAATATTTAGAGCAAAATACGTTGCCCTTTGTGGAGCTGCTGATCAGTGTATTGCCAATTTAGTTTTAGCCCCGCTCATTCACCTTTTGATCAACTTGAGGCCATGGGTCCTGAGTGAGAAGGGAGATTGAAAAATTGGAATGTTCCCAAAAAATTAAATTGGATTTTTAAAGAGTTTTGAAATTTCTGTTAGTGTGTGTTGGATCCGGGCTTCACAGAGCCTGATTTCTGCTGATGAGCCAGACACTTCATGGCAGGTGGGGAAGGCAAATTTCATTAGTATAACTTTTCATTTGCAACACCTGTGTTCCCTGAAAAGCTGTTCTGCATAGACAGGAGACCTCCTGCAACAGCATGGGAGGTGGTTCTGGGAGTTGCAGAGGAAGGTGGAATATATGAAAATCACACATGCCCTTCCTGCAGTATGAGTCTCCATTGGATATATGGGCTGTGGTGTGAGAGAGAATCACCATAAATCAGGTGAAGGATACTTTGCACAAGCAGATCTCCCTTCTCAGGTGATTTCCATTTGTCCCACTGCCACCTCATACAACATACTCCACACTGTTCAGAGGGCCCCAGACTCACTGGATAGGCTTTCCAAGAGCCACAGCGACTGTAGAGGGAAAGAAGTCCAGGGAGAAATGTGAAATGCCTTCTGCTCAGGTAACTACCGAATATAATCTCTACTAAAGACAGGTGCAATGAACTACTTGAATAACATTTCTGCATATGTTCTCGAAAGCTATTCCATTGGTTTGAACACTTTTATTGTATTTTCAAGTCTACAAACGAAGATGTGTGGATTTCTTCTACTGAAATGTAGTTTAATGAATAATGATGTAAGTATCCTATGTGTTACATACCAGTAGTAAAGGATGACAGTGGAATCAGCTTTGCAAAACAATAAGATAATTTTACCACTAATAAATTGTTGCATACAGATGCTCAATATAAGATTATTCATAATGCAAACTATTTAAACAACCAGGATATCAAATTGATTCCTCAGTAACGGTTGTTTCTTGCTTTCCCCAAGAAAGCTGTCAGCTAAGTGGAAACTCTGAACAATTTTTTAGGCAGAGTCCCTAAACCTCAGCATCTAAAGAGTTAGCCGTTGGCCTTCATGCTTGTAGACCAGCACCTTGATCTCTTCTGTCATTTTGTGTATAAAAAATACTCAACCTTAATGTATTTTATGTGAATTTGCCATATTTGCATGCCCCCTGGGGCAGGAACACTTTTAAAAAATCGTGGCAATGATCTGAAAACTTAATAAGGTACAACTAGAAAGGAAAGTTCTGCCATGGCTGTACTGTACTGAATCTTTGCTAATAAGTTGTTCCTTAAGGGTGATATCTAAGTCATATTCAGACTCATTGAAATCAGTGGGCTTAAGTTATTTTGTGTATGACTAATGTTGACTATCACCCAACATTATGCTAGTTTTCTGTTAATCCTGCAGTGTTTTGTTTTTTTAAAAAAACCCACAAGAAGTGGAATTATTAACTACAGACTTTTTGTTATGAAAGGGTATTGACCCACAAGAAAAACATCAGTCAAGGACTGTTGTCTCTGGCTGGGTGAAGTCAAATTCAAAAGCATGTGGAGTTTGCAGCATTGCACAGTTGCTTTGTAGTATTTATTTTTGCCCCACCCCATCTCTGTGTATGTACCAACCCTTCTCTTGCTCATGCTCTGAGTCACCCCCTTTCTCAACACTGCGTTAAATTAGGCTGAGAGTAGTACTGTAGGTTCCTAGCCAGGAGCTAAACTGTCAGTGGCTATATTGCCTAGTTAGAAGCCCATGGGAAGCTTGAATATTTCCATTGAAAACAAAACAAAAAACTGATTTCCCAGTCCAGTGCCTTAATCAAATATCAATATTGTGCAGTATTCAGTTATAAAAAATGTGTGTACCTAAATTATGAAGCTCAATTGTTTTAATACATTTGATCATTTGGGCTCTGACTATCTCACAACTGTAGTGGATATGGAAGCAGAGTTTCAGGTGCTAGGTAATTGCTAGGAATTGGTATAGGAGAACAAATGTGATGGTCCGCGTGCCTGTTGTGGTGCAAGAGAACCCCAAGCTTAAGTGATACAGTGATTTAACTAAATCCTTGTATGGGAAACTCGTCATTTTCCTATACTAGGAAGGGAAGGAATCGTGTAGGTTTACACATGATTCGAAAGAGATTGTTGTGTATGTATAAAAAGGCATCTAATTTTTATTAAATAATATATTATTATTTAATTACCTGCCCTTCATGCTAAGGTCCCAGGGTAGGGATTACAACATTCAAACACAATAGTAAAAACAAATTACAATCACAAGAATAAAGTGGGTCCTAAAAATATACATCTAAAGTGTCAAAAGTCAGGGTGAAGAGATGCATCTTCATTGGAAGCTGTATAATGAAGGTGTTTGATGCAACACAGGTGCACACATGTGTGTGTGAGAAAGCGCACATTCTATATGCTTCCTTAATATTTATATATGACATAATCTCAAACATTCAGGTCTTGTGGTTATCTGGGACATATCTGCATTCTTATGGACAAGTCCTAACAGTGTGTGGCTGTCTGTGGCAACTTCAGCAAAACTGTTAGTGCAACTTCAGTCTTCCCTGCTTAAGAAAGTGAATAACACATCATACAATTGTCATAGAGCATCATATGATGATGACAGTAGGTGGGGTTATAGAATACGGCAGATAAGATCAGCACAGGCTGCCCATACAATCAAAGGTATATATTGTTATTAGAGGGTTTTATTATGCTGAAAGGAATAGCCCTTATGAAGATCTGTCTCTGTTTAGTTGCACTTGTGTATTCCAAATAAATGCAGACAAGATTTGGATCCTACTGACCAAACCTGTCACTTAAAGCTTAACTGGTTGTGTGTTGCAGAGGGTAGCTGGTACTTTATTAATCGGCTTTTGTTTCCTGAGGCAAATCAAATTCCATTGGTTTTTGCTTATATAGAGTTTTTCTATAATACTGACATGTCCTATTAGTAAGGTCTGTGAAGAACAGTGATTACACCTGAACCAAGTTTCTGTGCTAGAACATCAAAGTCTGCAAAAAATACCTAATCCAAAACTATTCTTTGTTTCCTTAACTCTGTTAATTAAATTAGTGGGCATAAAGATCTGCCATATCACAATGGTACAAATATGCTGCTATGTAATAAAATCTTGCTGCTCTCTGCTACAGGTAATCTTAACATTCATTTTGTTGTTAATTTAATGGCTGTTTGAGCAGTGAACAAAAACTCACACGTGACCAAATCAAACACTGTAAAAAGCACCTATGATACAGTAATTAACAGTACATTAGAAACTTGATGTGGCTCAATAGACTTCTTTGTAGGTCCTTAGCCACTGTCAGTGTTTCCAAGGATACTAGATAATCACAGGTGTTAGAAAAACATTGTTTCAAGTCCCTACTGCTTCCGCTGAAAGTTTTAATTACCTAGTGGTATTTTAACAATCTCTATTTTCTTCTCCTCTCTACTTTAGGAATACTGACTTTTCCATTGTCTATAAAGAAAAAGGTTATGTTCATACTAGAACATTGCACACTGCTATCTTATCTGTACATATTTTGTAATATCTGCTGTGACTTTACATCCCAGCTGAAACTAGAAAATCTTGTCTGCAATTTTTAACCTCCTTCTAGCTTGAGGCCCGGTAAATGCAAAACTCTTGGCAATCTCAGTGAAGTTGTCTGTGCTTGTAGGCGAGATTGGTTCATCATGTTTCTCCTGAACATCCATATCTTCAGATCTATTAAATACCACTCCTTATGTCAATAGTGAGACCATCTGATTGTGTGATGCCACTTTTGGCTGACATTTTAGCTGGTATCCAAAAAAGAAAATTGATAAGTCTTCCGTGTCTAAAAGGGCTTGGCATTCAAAGAAGGATACTGAAATGATGCTTCAATAATAAGCCTGAAATATTTTACAAACTATTGGCATTCACATTCTGTTATACATCATGTAGCCCCTACCAGAGGTACTGTGTGGTAGCTTAAGGGTTTGGTTTTTCTCAACATGGATTTCATAGTAGTAGGTGTACATGCCCTGTCTCCCACCTCATTCTGTACATCTGGGGTGGGGAATCTCCAGATGTTGGACACCAACTCCCATCAGCCGCTGCCATCATGGCCAATGGTCAAAGAAGATGGGAGTTGTCATCCAGCAACATCTAGAGGCCCAACAGGTACTTTGTCCTTGCAATGCATGGTTGGAGTAGAATGCTAAGACACTTGCCTCCACACTGCATGTACGGTCTACAGGCTGGCTCAATGTGAGAACCCTCTCTTGACTTTCAACTCCATTTTCTCTTTTTCAGTTGCATTTCTCTAAAGCTATCAAACTAACTTGTTGTTTAATGTCTTGTGCAAAGCTCTCTTCTAATTTTTGGAAGGAATATCTAAGCCTATACTTACCTGTATGACACTATAAAAAGTACAATGTAAGGTGTGGGAATCCAAGCCAGTAAGACCTGAGGTTTGTGTGTAGCCTTGTTTTGTCTGCTAAAACACTTAGGAAATAATGATCTGGCTATGTCACTGGTGCGTCTTCTGCAGGACAGGTTTCAAATACTTGTTATTCGTACCCTTGGATGTGTAAAGTGGCTTATCGTGGATTACCTTGTTCATTAAAAGAGCACTCCTTTCCTATCCTGGTTTAAAACATTTTTGTTGAGAGCCATTTTTCAAGGAATTGCATGCTTGCAATAAGCAGAGGCAAAACTAGGTGGATTTTTCATCACTTCAGTATTACGTGGCACTCCATGAGCACATACTCTAGCCCTACTCTATCCATTATCCCCTCCCCTCTATCCATTTTTGGCGCCTCTCCATTTCCCCCTTTCCAGTGACACAAATTGGAACTGACCACTACAGACAGCTCTCCCTACCGCCAGCTCTCTGTTCATTTCTGGTCTCCACCACTACATGTCCTCCTCCTCTCCTTCCAGCCCCATTCCTGGGCTCACCACATGGCAGACCCATTTTCTTCTCTTTCCCCCCTCCTTACACAGTGGCATGTAGTGAAGAAGTGGTAGCAGTTATCAAAGGGCTGGTCTGGAGAGCAAGAATGGGCCTGCAGCATTCAAAGGGTCACATAGTGGTCCCTGGACTGCATGCTCCCACCACTGTTTAACATAGACAGTACAATATTCATCATCATCTTCATCATCATCTTACGTATTTGTATGCCACCTTTCCAATAGTTAAAACCATGCTCAAGGGAGCTTACAACATGAAATGATTTACATAATTACAAAAGTTGTCAAACAAATAAAGCACATCTGAAAGTACACAACGAAATTGAAAAACTTCCACATACATTTTGAACCATAAAAGGATCTAGAAATAAAGATACAAAGAATTAAATAACAAACCTCCCCACAACAAGACCCCCAGTCCAGGAGTCTGTTCAGCACCCTCAGCTTTTATGGCTGGAGTCAGTCAGGGGCCTGCCCTCACAAGTCAGGTGGAAAAAGGCCTGCAAAGTTGGGAGCAGGCCTTCCAGGACTCACAGCCAAACTTGTCTCAAACCTGTACATCTGGGGTGAGGATTTGGCCACTTAAAAAAACCTATTGGGTGCAGGTTTGTATCAGTTTTCCTAAGCCTCTGCTTCTGCAATCATATTAACTTACAATCTGAAAATTCCTGGATGTAGTTAAAATGCTAACCGTCCAAAAATCACTTCAACATTATCGTGCTTCACAGCGAGGGCTTTGATCTGTCCTCAGTTATGCACATAACTCCAACCCTACCAAATATTCATTATTCATACCCCATTTCCAGTTACACCCTTAACCTGGGAGTAAGCCCTATTCAACACAGGCCCTATTCAAGCATGGAGTGCGAAAATGGGGATGAGCCAGCTCCGTCCCATCATTCTTCACAAGTTGGGAGGGATAACTTATGAAACTGGGAGCCTTTTCTACTTGTGTAAGCTCCCCACGTGATTTAGGGTTCTAAGATGTATGGGGAACCTAAATGAACAGAGTGGGCTTCTCATGATAGACAGTCCTTATTGCCGTCATTATGAGTAATTCCAACTAATTGGGTACCACATTACCCAAATATGGTAAGAAATTTACTTCCAGGGCAAACATGCCCAGGATTGCATTTAGTGTGTGTTAACATCATTTCCTATTCTTTTACATTTTCAATGTCCTTTGGCCTTTATTTTATTAAGTCTTTAATTACTGTCTTGTGTAAGATGTTTCCTTGCAGATTGCCTTGGTGCCTCCTCTGAGGTAGACATTTGTTTACTTAGATGAAATGGACATAAGCCTCTCCACACAAGTGTTGAAGAGCCTGCCAAGAAATGTGTAAGAGGTTTACAAGCATTATAGCCCTATGTGGATTACCATCATGCAGAAGTGACAAAACAGTATAGGTATGAATTGAGGGATAGATCTCCGCACCATAGCTACAGCACCAGTAACTAGGAGAGGAGGAATGGCAACTAAAAACTAGCACAAAGCTCGTCTTGGTTGTTTGCATTGCTGAACTTCCCCATAATTATCACTAAATAAGATGGCCAGTTGTATTCACCCACGGTGATCAAGATTAGTCAATGGCCTTATTCCCAAGTGGGCTTGTGTCTTGTGAGAATGCCCACCTTTTATCTGCTAATAAGCAGTCTGTGCCTTTGGTAGTTTTAAGGTCCTCTTTTGTGGAAAGTGGCAGAGAGGCACTCTGTTCTGTAAATTTAGTACTGAGCAAGTCTTTGGATGTTGCTGTGAATTTCTGCCTGAACCTTGAAATATCCTTGTCTCCCCCACCTCCCAAAGTCAGTCTAGAAGAGCTAATTTTATTCACATAAGTCTAAGAATAATGATGAACACCTCAAATCAAACACCAGTATCATGTCAAGGGAAATGGTAAATAGGTTTTAACAGAAACCACTTAAAAATAGCAAAAGCATGTCCTGGAATAGTAATTAGTACTGCACAGGAAGGAGTTATGAATATATAGGCATAAGCTTTCCTTCACACACAGTTTAAGATAACGACACCTGCTATGTTATAGGACAGAAATTAACCTAATTATGATTGCCTTGTTCAGATTATTATTTATGCCCATCAACAGTTTAGGAAAGTGATTTCTAAGTTGATATTTTTCATATATATAATGTTTCACCAGCTATTCATTACACCACTGGAAATACAAATGTATCCTGGTCCAGATCTGTCAGTTTTCTTACGGTATTTGCAAAGTAATTGTACTCGGAGATGTTAAAAGACTCCCTCCATCTCAGCTTTCATTTCAGCAAGACCAGTGCTGCAATATCAGCAGCAAGGTACCTTGTGTTGTCTACCTAGGAGGGAACATGATCCTCTGGTGGCTACAGTCCATTCTACAAGGATAGAGCTGGAATGTAGTTCTGAAGGTCTTCTGTTCTCTCTCCTTGACCTTTGGGGTGCCCAATGTGGGGAAGGTTTTAATGAAAAAATACCCTTTTTAAAACCAATGAAGTCAAATATCCAAGAGGGGAAGAAAGGGGAGAAGGAACAAGAAGGAAATTATATATGTGATGCATCCGATGAAGTGGACTCTTAGTTCATAAAAGCAACATGCCATAATAAAATTTGTTACATCTTTAAGGCATGACATGACTCTTCATTGTTATTGCTACCCATTGAATTCTCACATCTCCTGAAAACTCATGGAAAATCCTAAGAGGTCAGTGGCTCTACTGTAAGGAGTACAGTCCTTAGGTTTCCCTTAGAAGAGAAAATGCCAGTTAAACCAGATTAAGCCTATAGTGAAGGAATGTTCTAAATTTATCTTATGCAGAAAGCAAAACCTTCCTACAAAGAGCAAAATTTCAGTAGATGGAATGCAAGTTCCTGTTGAAATACTTGAAATACTCTGAAATACTTGAGTATTCTCAATCCTATTTATAGTAAGGTGAAAACATTCTTCCAGGCACTTACCAAATCAGTAACTGAAAAAGATAGATGACACAATTAAAATATACCAGGATAGATAGGCACCAGAATAGAGAGAGTGGCTGGAATGATGTCACATTAAATTATGATTAAGGATGGAAATTAACAAAGTTAGACAAAATGGCATAATTTGAATTTGAAATAAATCCATCAGTTCAAGTTGATACTTAATTATAATATTTACATATCATCCAATATCAAAAGTTCTCTGGCCCATTTTGTAAGTTAAAAAATTAAGGACAAAAAATATTTTTAAACACCTTAAAAATGCAAAACCTAAAGCACAATAAAACGGGCATAATAAAGCCAAAGTAAAACCAGTGCAAGGGGCTAAAAACAAATTCTATCTGTTGTCAAAAAGGCAAGCTTTAGAAACTCTCCCTTTGTTCATTGTAAGTGTTGTAACTTAATGGCTAGTCTCTTCTTGCTGCTTGGAACCACATCACAAAAACTGCTTTTCAATATTGGCTGAAATAAGCCTGGGTTTAGCTCTGTTTCACTAAAAAGAATTGTATGAGATATGAAAATGCCTTACTGCATAACAGTGAAATGCTCTTCATGCTTACTCAGAATTGGTGTCTTCTGCATTCAGTGACAGTTTACAAGTACATGTGCACAGGATTGCTGCTTTGGAAAGTTTTCATCACCCTTCTAAATTTGGAGAGAATCCTGCAGGACAGGCTTGGGAAACACAGGCCCCTCAAATGTTGTACGACAGCTCCCATCAGCTGAAGCCAACACACAATAATCTTTACAATAACCCTGCACATAAGGCTACACACACATTTCAGAGAGAAGGCTGAGATTGAGAGAGAGCATATTGGGTTTACTTAAAGCCTGTGTCTAAACTGAAATTTAAACTGGGATTTCTAATGCACATAGGAAGGTCCAGTGCTATTAGCCATTTATTTATATAGGCTGCAATCCTAACTGCAGTAATCTGCCAGCAAGCCCCATAGAATTCACAGGTCTTACTTCTGAGTAGACATAGTCTTGCACTGTTGTTTATTAAACCTGTATTCCACTCAAAGGTTCCTAGGGCTGTACAAGCACCAGAAAGCCCCAAAATAATAAACCAAATCTATAAATCCCCCCAACACACACATTAAAAAATCCTGCAGAATCTCTCTTACATCACCCAAATCCATAAACTGTTGAAAATAAACCCATCTTAACCAGATAGATGGCAAAAGGGATAGCTGGATCTCTACAACAATGGTGAAGGTCTTGTTTTGCATTGCCACACCACAAGCTATGGATGTTGATGGAACAGTAGAGCCTTTCCCATGGAATTTAAGGCATAGGAGAGCATGTAATAGGGGAGGTGATCCTTCAGGTGGAGCTGTATTGAACTTTGTAGACTGAAGTCAGCACTTTGAATGGGGCCTGGAAGCAAATAAGAAGACTTAAGGGATAGATATTGCATGATCCCATTTCAAACTGCCTGTCAGGAACCTGGCTGCCACATTCTGCACCAGCTGCAGCTTCTGGGTCATATTGAAGGTCACAGTGGCAATAGTTAAATCAGTAGGTCACCAGAACATGTAACACATGATCTTGGTCCAGGGAGGGCCCTAGTTGGCTAATCAGCCAGAGCTGGGCATAGGTGTCTGTTGCCACTGAGGTCACCTCACCTGTGGCTTAAGCAACAGTGGTGGCTCCAAGGACACCCCCAAGTTACAAACACACTCCTTTAGGGGAAACA